CCGGATGCTGGACGGGATGAAGCCGTGGAAGTAGCTTGGGGAAACTGCGCTGGGAGGGAGCGAGACCGGATGCTGGACGGGATGAAGCCGTGGAAATAGCTTGGGGAAACTTCGCTGGGAAGGAGCGAGACCCGATGCTGGACGGGATGAAGCCGTGGAAATAGCTTGGGGAAACTTCGCTGGGAGGGAGCGAGACCGGATGCTCGACGGGATGAAGCCGTGGAAATAGCTTGGGGAAACTGCGCTGGGAGGGAGCGAGACCGGATGCTGACGGGATGAAGCCGTGGAAATAGCTTGGGGAAATTTCGCTGGGAGGGAGCGAGACCGGATGCTGGACGGGATGAAGCCGTGGAAATAGCTTGGGGAAAACTTCGCTGGGAGGGAGCGAGACCGGATGCTGGACGGGATGAAGCCGTGGAAATAAAGCTTGGGGAAACTGCGCTGGGAAGGAGCGAGACCGGATGCTGGACGGGATGAAGCCGTGGAAATAGCTTGGGGAAACTTCGCTGGGAGGGAGCGAGACCGGATGCTCGACGGGATGAAGCCGTGGAAATAGCTTGGGGAAACTGCGCTGGGAGGGAGCGAGACCGGATGCTGGACGGGATGAAGCCGTGGAAATAGCTTGGGGAAACTTCGCTGGGAAGGAGCGAGACTGGATGCTGGACGGGATGAAGCCGTGGAAATAGCTTGGGGAAACTTCGCTGGGAGGGAGCGAGACAGCATGCTGGACGGGACAAAACCGTGGAAAATAGCTTGGGGAAACTTCGCTGGGAGGGAGCGAGACCGGATGCTGGACGGGACAAAACCGTGGAAATAGCTTCGGGAAACTGCGCGGGGAGGGAGCGAGACAGCATGCTGGACGGGACAAAACCGTGGAAAATAGCTTGGGGAAACTGCGCTGGATGGGAGCGAGACAGCATGCTGGACGGAAAGCTGTGCTGGGAGGAAGCGCGACAGCATGCTGGACGGGACAAAACCGTGGAAATAGCTTGGGGAAACTTCGGTGGGAGGGAGCGAGACAGCATGCTGGACGGAGAAGAAAGCGTGCAAATAGCTTGCGGAAAGTTGCGCTTGAAGGGAGCGAGACAGCATGCTGGACGGGATGATGCCGTGGAAATAGCTTGAGGAAACTTCGCTGGGAGGGAGCAAGACAGCATGCTGCACGGAGACGAAAACTGTGGAAATAGCTTGCGGAGAGCTTTGCTGGGAGGAAGCGCGAGAGGATGAGACAGCATGCTGGACGGAGAGGAAACCGTGCAAATAGCTTGCGGGGAGCTTCGCTGGAAGGGAACGAGACAACTGGACGGATGGGAAACCGTGGAAATAGTTTCGGAGAGCTTCGCTGGGAGGAAGCGAGATAGCATGCTGGACGGAGAGGAAACCGTCCAAATAGCTTGCGGAGAGCTTCGCTGGGAGGGAGCGAGACAGCATGCTGGACGGAGAGGAAACCGTGAAAATAGCTTGCGGAGAGCTCCACTGGGAGGGAGCGAGACAGCATGCTGGACGGAGAGAAAACCGTGGAAATAGCTTGGGGAAAGTCCGCTGGGAGGGAGCGAGACAGCATGTTGGACGGAGAAGAAACCGTGCAAATAGGTTGCGGAGAGCTTCACTGGGAGGGAGGGAGACAGCATGCTGCACGGAGGAAAGTGTGAAAATAGCTTGCGGAGAGTTTCGCTGGGAGGGAGCGAGATAACATGCTGGACGGATAGGAAACCGTGGAAATAGCTTGCTGAGCTGGGAGGGAGCGAGACAGCTTGCGGAAAGCTTCGCTGGGAGGGAGCGAGACAGCATGCTGGACGGAGAGAAAACCGTGCAAATAGTTTGCGGAAAGCTTTGCTGGGAGGGAGCGAGACAGCATCCTGGACGGAGAGGAAACCGTGGAAATAGGTTAAGGAGAGCTTCGCTGGGAGGGAGCGAGACAGCATGCTGGACGGAGAGGAAACCGTGCAAATAGGTTGCGGAGAGCTTCGCCGGGAGGAAGCGAGATAGCATGCTGGACGGAGAGGAAACCGTGCAAATAGCTTGCGGAGAGCTTCGCTGGGCGGGAGCGAGACAGCGTGCTGGACGGAGAGGAAACCGTGCAAATAGGTTGCGGAGAGCGTCGCTGGGAGGGAGGGAGACAGCATGCTGGATGGACAGGAAACCGTGGAAATAGCTAGCGGAGAGCTTCGCTGGAAGGGAGCGAGACAGCGTGCTGGACGGAGAGGAAACCGTGGAAATAGCTTGCGGAGAGCCTTGCTGGGAGGGAGCGAGACAGCATGCTGGACGGGACAAAACCGTGGAAATAGCTTGCGGAGAGCTTCGCTGGAGGGAGCGAGACAACATGCTGGACGGATAGGAAACCTTGAAAATAGTTTGCGGCAGAGCTGTTGGCACGGGTTTTTTCAGGACAAATGCCATCATTGCGATTGGCCTGAAAAAATTGTGGACCCAAGACTGGTCAAATGGTCCCAAGACCGGTCAAACGGTTTGCAAAGGCTGAAAAATGGGACATGCACAGAGAAGCTTTTACACAAAAAAAGCCTTTACACAGAAACTTTGACACACAGACGCGTTTACAGAGACACAGAGGAGTCTTGACACAGAGTAGCTTTTACACACAGAAGTCTTTACACAGAGAAGTCTTGAGACAGAGAAGCCTGTACACACAAAGGCTTTTACAGAGAGAAGCCTTTCGCACAAAGAAGTCTTGACACAGAGGAGCTTTTACGAGAGAAGTCCTTACACAAACGAGATTTACACGCAGAAGGTGTTACAGATAGACGTTCTTTCGGCGCACAGAAACTTTAACACAGAGCAGCTTGTACACACAGAAGCTTTTACACAAAAAAGCCTTTACACAGAGAAGTTTTTCACACAGGAGCTTTTGCACAAGAAAACTTTTACACAGGAAAGCTTTTACACACAGAAACTTTCACACACAGAAGCTTTGTACACAGAGAAGTCTTTGCACAGAGGAGCTTTTGCACACAGAATCTTGTACACACAGACGCTTTCACACACACACAGGAGGTTTTACAAACAGACAACTTTACGGCGCACAGATTTTTCACACAGAGCAGCTTTTACGCAGCGAAGCTTGTACACACAGGGGGCTTTTTTACACAGAAGCTTTTACATAAGGTTTTTTTAATACACAGAAGCTTTTACACACAGAAACCTTTACACACAGAAGCTTTTACACACAGAAACTTTTACACACAGAAGGTTTTACACACAGAAGCTTTTAACACAAAAAAAACCTTTAAACAAAGGAGCTTTTACACACAGACGGGTTTACACAGAGAAGTCTTTACACACGGAGGCGTTTACACAGGAAAGAGTTTACACGGAAGCGTTTACACAGAGTAGTTTTTACACAGAGAAATCTTTACACAAAGAAGTCTTGACACAGAGAAGCTTGCACACACAGAGGCTTTTACACACAGAAGCCTTTTACACAGAGCGGCTTTTTCACAGAGGAGCTTTTACACAGAGGAACTTTTACACAGAGAAGCTTGTACACTCAGAGGCTTTGACACAGAGAAGTCTTTTACACAGAGAAGCTTTTGCACACAGAAGCTTTACACAAACAAAACCTTAACACAGAGGAGCTTTTACAGACAGAAGCTGGTACGCAAAGAAACTTTCGCAAACAGAAACTTTTACACACAGAGCGCGTTTTACACAGAAGATTTTACACACAAGAGCTTTTACACCAAAAACCTTTACACAGAGAAGTTCTTGCCCACAGAAGCTTTTACTTGCAGAAGCTTTTATGCAAAGAAGCTTTTGTACAGAGAAGTCTTTACCCATCTTTTATCATGTCTCATTTTTCATGATCATTTGCCATCTGTCACCTTCATATATATCTTCGTTTTCATGCTCTTTTGGTCAGCTCCCTCTGTCGTTTAATTTTCATTTCGTTCTGTCCGTCCACGCTTCGTGCTCGCTCCCTCTGCGGCGAAGCAAACTAAACGAGAACGCAGAAATAGATAGCGACTAGACAGATGGGATAGAGTTAATTACATTAACAGAAATAGCGACTAGAAGACTGTAGGCGTAGCTGACACAGCATGCTGTGGTGAATCGTGGCCCCTGATACCATCAGTGCGCACGATGTTTAAGTAAAGATCTTACGTCGATTTCGTGCAGAGCACAGCTGGCCACACCCCAAGATTTTCAAGAAAAGGCGTGCTGTGTGCCGTCTTGCTTTTGGGTTCTCTGGCCCACCTTGTTTTAACCATCTGGTTATTTAACATAGCCATGGAAAATCACCATTTTTAAGTTCGGTGAACCATCTATTCCTATGGGCCATCTATACCATGGCGAACTGTTAACCAGATGGGATGGATTTTTGGCCATTTCAGGTCGAGTCTGAGTTGTTCTTGTCAAAGTGGCCATTTGTCAACGAAATCACATTGTATCATTGTCGCTCTGCCATGCTGTGCCATGCAGCTTGCCAAAGCTGTGCACTGAATGCCACAGGCAATGACCAGAAGTAGTGGAGAGGGCAGGGTGTTTGTGCAGCCTACTAGTCCTTGACCCCCTGCATTTTGGAGGCGTGATACCAGATGGCATTGTGGCCACTGCATTAGTAAACTTGGGGAGCCTTGGTCGCAGTAATGACTAGAAAGTGACAGTGTCATCAAACAATGCAAAACAGTTCTCTCAGGTCATCCACCATTGAATTACTTCACGTCATAATCTGGTTCTTCTTTTTTTCCCCCTGATGTGTGTTCAAAGAAGAATTGTCCAATCTTATGCTCAAAGCAAGGAATGCCTACGGTTGTTTTGGCGATTACGAGAAGCAGCGAGACGTCACAGAACGTGGCCTGCGGATGCAGGAACAACTTTATGGCCCCTTGTCAGATCTCTATCAGCATGTGCAGTTGCAACATGAAAGGCAATGATGAGCCTTAATGTGGGTAACACAATATCATAAACCACCCATTTGGGAATGGTTTATACTATCTATTTATGGTGATTTGTGGGATGGTTTATTATTGTTTACCCACATTTACTTGTAATTCGTCACTACCTGAGGCTCAGACCACAGCAAACTGGCGCCGACATTGGGAAGTTTGGGGAACCTTCACGGGCACTTGGGCAACTATGAGAAACAGAAGGACGCTCTGACATTTCCGCATCGTTTTTTCGGCATAGGTATGTGTATATATATATAAAGGTATGTATAGGTATGTATAGGTATCCAAAGCCACATATTTCGAAAGTTTGAGACGTTTACAGGATCTTCTCCTGAGATCATTGACCATCATGGAGCGAGAGTATGGCCCGGAGAATCGAATGGTTGCTATCGCGTTGACCAACCTGAGTAGCTTGACGATTTCAACAGGGAAAACGGTTCACATTGATTAATGAATGTTGGAAAACCATGAATTTCATACAACCATGTTAGGAACAACGGTTAAGATAGAGTTTGATTAAGCAATGTTGGGAAGCCTATTTTCAGTCAAGCCATTTGGAATGTGAGGAAGGCATGTAAACGTTTTGACGTTTTGCTCTGGGGGGCCATGAGCATTTCATAGCATTTCCATCAATCCATAGACCTGAAAACCAGGGAATCTGCTGGGCATTGATAGCGTTATTTGATGTTAACGGTGTACTTCCGGCAGCGTTTGCGTACTCCAATGAGCCTTAGCATGATCCGTTATGATCATGCTCATTCCCCCATATGGGTATGTCTGAAAACGAGGTCTGCCCTCAAAATGGCCATCGGAAGGGGAAATTTTGATTGACCAGGGGATTTAGAGAGATTTACCATCTGGTTATTTAACATAGCCATGGAAAATCACTATTTTTAATAGGTAAACCATCTATAAATGGGCCATTTCCCATGGCTATGTTAAATAACCAGATGGTAGATGGATTTTTAGATCCATTTAGGGGTGTCGAATCCACATGCCTGTTCTCTTCTCACGTGCCCCCCAGGCAACGCCTACCAACGCCTGGGCAATGCACCGGAACAGCAGCGGCTTCTGGAACGGGCCCAAAGTATTGCGGAAACGCTGCCGGGCCATCAGGTAGGCTGCCAACAACGACTGGGGATGGGGTTTTGTACCACCGAGAAAAAAAATATATTATATATATATGGGGTTAATTTCATATTAGTGATTAGTGTTTTTTTAATTAATGACAACGTCATTGGGGAAAACCGTTGGAAGCCCCAGCAAGAAATGCGGAAAATGAATGAACAATCATGAGATTTGAGGGTACCCCATCCCATTTTCAGACAAACCCAGCATGAGGTAGAAAGGCCATTTTAGTGCGAAGACTTTGCATTCATTCAGGTTGGTGGTTTTAAATGGTCTGTTTTTTTTTCCTCCCCTCAATCATGGAAATAATGGGATCATCATATATCCCCCAATGACTTTCGCAGATGTTTCAGAAGGATGGCAATCGTTCCCACCTGTCCTGCACGGTTTCTTTCCCAGCGTTCAGCATGTGGAGGGGATGCAAGCGTGTATCCTGACCAACTTGGGTAATTCTCATGGCAGCTGAGCCGCATTTGCGAGAACACCAATAGTACGGTTTTTGGCACGCCCCCCCCAAAAAAAAAGTTGGAAACCTGGAAATTAAGGGGGAAACGATGTCCTATTGAAGATTATTGAACATATTTCAAAACGGCGATTTTCCATAGCTATATTTGACCAGAGGGTACCTGTTTAACAGCTGCGCATCCCAATGCCACTGTTTTTTTCCATGTTGCACCAACCCAGGCCTCCTGGGCAACGCAAAGAAGCACAAAGACTTTCTGGAGCGAGCTCTAGCCCTGAAGGAGCAGGAGTATGGTCCGGACCATCCGGAGGCCAGTTACTGGTGCCCCATGGAATGACGCTTTGTTTAAGCACGGTCATATATGGCCACAATTTATGGGGGATAACGCCATCTATTGTTAAGTGGTCATATATATATATTCCCAGTTATATCTTAAATTCTTGGTATAGTTGGTTGTGCATTATATCTCCATGATGGTTGGTTTGATGCCCACATTTGCAGGTGGCGGTTACTTTGATGGGCTTGGGCTGTGCCTATGGAACATTGGGCTTTGCCGAGACGCAGAGACAATTCATTGAGCGGGCGCTGAAGATCAAGCGACGCGCGCGACTTGGCTGAGTGCTGGACATCGGGTGCTGGATACCCCAGATTTATGGCACTTTAGTTGGGACAATTATAATTATATAGTTTTTAAACCCATGAACAGGAATGAGGTCGCATATTGTATACATTATACGATGACAAACCGTGACAAAACCCGCAGAAAACCCTCAAATTGATGAGGAACTGTCTTCAACACATATTTGAACCTCGGCATGTTCTGGGCACACCCAGGTTTGGTGATAAACACGTGGCAACGGCTGGAGCATTAGTGGTCCTGGGCACAACCATGGGCGTTCTGGGAGACGTTGAGAGTGAGAAGGCCTGGGCCAGTACAGAAGAATCGCTGGAAAGCCTGGTGGAATGCATATGGGATCATATTGGATCTACAGGTAGATGGATGTAATAATTATGGTCCTAATATGAATAGATGATAAATTTACAATATAATCTGATATATATTGATATATGATCCTAATATATGGTCTATAATTACAGGTGTTAAATTTGATATCATTTAGAGCCGGCGAGATCCAGCCCAGACGACTTGGCTGGAGGATTTCATCAGCCAGGGCCTAGCGATCCAAGAGGAGAACTTTGGCAGCGATCATCAGGACTGGATCAGGAACTGCCGCCACTTCGGTGGGTGAATGGCGTGATGAATGCATTACCATCATATTCATAAATGATAAGCATAATATGCACACACGCATATTTATATATATATATATGTGTGTGTTAGACACATTATACACATATAATACATACATACATACATACATACATACATACATACATACATACATACATACATACATACATACATACATACATACATACATACATACATACATACATACATACATACATACATACATACATACATACATACATACATACATACATACATACATACATACATACATACATACATACATACATACATACATACATACATACATACATACATACATACATACATACATACATACATACATACATACATACATACATACATACATACATACATACATACATACATACATACATACATACATACATACATACATACATACATACATACATACATACATACATACATACATACATACATACATACATACATACATACATACATACATACATCATACATACATACATACATACATACATACATACATACATACATACATACATACATACATACATACATACATACATACATACATACATACATACATACATACATACATACATACATACATACATACATACATACATACATACATACATACATACATACATACATACATACATACATACATACATACATACATATATCTATATCTATATATATAATATATAATATAATATAATATAATATAATATAATATAATATAATATAATATAATATAATATATGTGAGGCATGTATGTGAATATGCGCTACTTAGCTTAAACAGTGTATTTCTTTCAATGTATCTGCAGATGTGCCATGCCAAGTTGATGGGCAGCGCCCGCCAGGAGGTTGCATGCGCACTTGCAGCTCTGGGCCAGTGCCACGCAAACTTGGGAAACGATCGTACGCACAAGGACGAAGGAATGTGGTTTGCTTCAGTCAATGGGTTGGTTTTAATCGAACATCTACTCGGAGACCATGGGAAAATCCCATCCCATATGGGAGTTTCCGGCTAAGATTTCGCCTGAAACATCCTGAAACCAATCAGTTGATTCAGGTCGTTGTGTCATTCGCAAGGACTTGGCACAACGTGCCCTTGCCATTGAAGAGAGGACGCAGCTTGGTCCAAAACATGCGCAGCTCGCCCTTTCGAGCCGCCATGTCGCCACGTCAGCAGCCTGAGGTTTGGGCCAGAACACCGGGAGTTGATTACAACCTTGGTGACCTGCTTGCACTGCGACAAGTACTGCAGTGTACTGCACTGTAGCTTGAAACATGTGGAAAAAAAACACGTGTCATTCATCACTCGAAATGGGAAGTGGATGGAGGGAGGGATGGATGCGTGGATGGACGGATAGCTTGATCGACTGAGTGACTGACTGGGGTGAGTGAGTGATAGGTTGTTAGATAGACACATGAATGTTCGTATTGTATATGGATGGATGAGTGGATCCTTAGCACATCATGCATCTACAGGAGGGTCATCTATCTAATTATATATTTATAGCATCATCTATAAATACCTATCCAAATATCATGGTTGCAGATGTTCGATCATAGACACATACACATGTCTCACACACACATATATATATAATATAGATATATATAACTATATAATAATATTATATATATAATAGATATTCCATTATCACGTACCAAAGATATTCTAAGATCATTTGTTTGAAAACATCTATCAATCAACATCTATCTATATCCGCCTTATATAATCTTATATATTTTGTCCATAAAAATCATCAAAGAATCTCTCCAAAGAACCATTATATTCCCATTAAACCACCATTATAATCACCAGTATTAAGCCCATTTTCCATAGCATCAAGTGGCATGGATATCTCAGGTTTCGCTGAGCGAAGCCGAAGGATCTCTGGGCAAGGCCGAGTCGCAGCAGCGGACGGCAGACAGAGCGCTCGAGTCCTGGCTGAGCAGCGTGCCGGTGGAAAATGGACAAATGTGGCAAAAAGATGGGGGAAAACCAGGTGAAAACCACATGAAACCCTCTCAAGTGTTGGGAAAAACAGTACATTTCGTGATAAAATGACTTGAAGATACGGATTTTCCCACTTTTTCTAGGGTGACCGGGTGATCTTTGAACTCAATTCGCAGCGTTTCTATAGTAGCGGCTGTTTGTTTTTCCCTCAGGCCATTGCGTGCAGATGCTACGGCAAAGAGCATCTGGAAACTGCGCCTGCATTGCTGAGTTTAGGCCAGGACGACACATTGTGCGATTCTCCTGGTAAACTAACATAGCTATGGAAAATCACCATTTTTAATGGGAAAACTCACTATAAATGGCCATTTTCAATAGCTATGTTAGTTTACCAGAAGGGATACGGAATTCTCAGACGGGACCAAAAAAAAAGGAGACTACAGATGTTTTTTTTTTTTGTCAGATTTTATCCATTTTTATCCCATATCATCCCATGATTGGGTGACTCCAATGACTTGAAACGCTGCCATTATGCTGCCATTAAACTTGGAGCACCACTCCATCGATAGGTGATGCCTGCCGCCGCCTGGGGCAGCTCTCCTTATCCAAGTCGCACTTGAAGCGCGCGCTGAAGATCCAGGAGACCTGGCCGTTGTTTTCCTATGGTTTTCCTTTTAAGTAAATTGAGCAATGACCCCAAATCCTTGTAACTTCATGTAACTTCTATTGATGAGTTCAGTTATGTTCAGTTTCTTTCGGGGCTTCATTGTATAATCATTATACATCATTATACCATATAGCGGCTATATATATATATATATTTTATTATATATATATACGTATATGGACATCATATATAGCTATGTACATAACTTATATTATATGAATACACCATGAGTTGTCGTAATATTGTTCAAATGGATGCACCCAATATAGCTATATGTATATAAACTTATACTTCTAAAAGGTATGCCATGCTGCCATGCAAGTATGCCCCAGGAGGCGGACTTGGGCGCCAATCACCGGAGCTTGGCCAAAGGCTTGGTCTCTTTGGCCTTGGCCATGGGACAGTCAGGCGGGCAAAGCTTGGGAGAAGAGTCCTTTGGTGCGGAAAAACCATGGGAAAAACCATGGGTTTATAGATGTTTAAAGCATTTTAAAGCATTGCAGAGAATATGTGTTGAATATGGAAAGACATGGGCTATGATGTAATGATGTACTGAATGGATCTGAATGGTGGATTTTTCCTGTATTAATTTACTGGCAAAACCATGGGACCCAGCTGCACTTCAGATCACGGAACCCTGATGCAGAGGCGACTTTGAGAAGCAAAAACTGCTCAGCGAGCGAGCGTTGGAAATCCAGAAGCTCGTCACTGGTGACCGGTGGTCGATGCACAGATATGCACAGTGTGTATGTTGCTACACATATTGGTCCAATGTTGGTGGTTTGGAACATGACTGGATTATGACTTTCCCATCATATTGGGGATGTCATCATCCCAACTGACTCATATTTTTCAGAGGGGTAGGTCAACCACCAACCAGTGGTGCTTTGTAAAGATGGTACCAGGTGATCATGGCTGAGAAGTCCCCATTGCCAAGGCGCAGGGACTTCGGTGCCAGCCATCGCTTTACAGCTCGGACTTGGCACTCCTTAGGGAAGGCCAATGTGGCCCTGGGTGTCTCGGCTTTGGGGTTGAAATGTCGGAGAGAAACCCAATGGCATCCAATGATTTTTCCTATGATTTTTCCTATTGGAATGGCCATCTATAGATCCATTTAGATCCATTTAGGTGGTATATCCATGTATATCCCAGTTTCGGAGGAAAAACAAATGGAAACTTGGAAAAACTCGTTGAGGGATGTTGACCCATGATTGCCTCATTTTCGTTGCATGGTATGTAGTGGTAGACAACTTGGTGACACATGGAACAACTGCAACCCTGTTGGACTGTCCGTGCAAAAATCGGCTTGCCCGTCTTTGACATAAAAAAACGCAGAAGACAAACTCAGGTGAATTTTCATTGGCAAAGCAGCAGCTAGAAGAAGCACTTCGCATACAGACCAAAGAGTGCCTGGGAACGAAAAGAGAGCCTTCGCAAGCTTAGCGCTGAAGTTCTTTGAGGTTAATATAGTGGAATGTGCGACACACAATCCCATTGCTAAAAACCATCATAAACCAGCTGCATGATGCCTCAGGTATGGCCCTGGACATAAGGAAGTGGGCCTCACTTTGGTTTCACTTAGCAACTCGGCACCACGCGTCGGGGATTTGTGGAATGTTTGCTTAGGTCGCTTAGGTCGTGGATCCTGTCGGATTATGTTTTGTAGATTGTTCCATTTTTGCTGAATTCTATCCCATTCCATCCCATTCCAAACATAAAAATTCACCAAGATGAAGGTCATAGTTCCACTATTCCATATGGATTCCATATATAAATTCCATATAAGTTCCATATATAAATTCCATATATAAGTTCCATATAAGTTCCATATTCCATACTTCTTGGACGTCCAATTCTCACCTGGGACCTGGATTTCTTCGACAGGTGAAGTCGTTGAAAAGGATCGACTGGAGCTTGCGCAGCGCGCGGTGAAGATCTTGGGCGAAGCCTATGGCCCTGACCATGTGGAGTCGCTCGGTGAAACGAGTAGAACTTGGGAGATCCCAACGTGGCCGCAACAGGTTTTTGGATGTTTTTGGGAATCCATGGGAATCCATGGGACAACCACCCAGAATCCACCCAGAAAATAGGACTTTTGGACAGGCATCTCTTGGTATTGGGTCATGCTGAGTTTTCCACATTCCCAGAATGTGATGGTCAACTGTGCAGTATTTTCGTTGCAGCAATCAGGGCATAGCAGGGCATAGCCGGGCCAACTCAGGTGCGCCCCGGCTTTGTTGGCGTTGGGAGAAGCTTTTGGTCAAGAGAACATCCAGAAATACCAGCGCTGCGTCAAGAAACCCAGCCGGATTTGGTTGTTGAAGGAGATGGCTTCCGTTGCATACAGGTGAGTGCTGAGTACTGTGGAAACATGTGGAAACTAGATATGAAACTAGTGGATCTAAATTCTATGACAACATGATAACTGCCCGCTGATCGCTGGTTTTTTGTTGCGCAACCATTCGTTAACCCAGCTTTGCAACCGAACAGCAGGTTCCGGGGTTGCAGGGTTCCAGGGTTCCGGTTCCGGTCCGGTTTTTGGGCTCGGCAAAAAGATCGACGCCCGCATCCCAGACCCTGAGATTGAAACCCAACAGTTAAAGTTTTCCCAGACCCCCTGGGACTTCGGAATCGATCTGTAAAGAGCCATGTGGGGCCTTCCATTTCCCATCCATTTCCCATCCATTTCAGGAAAGCGCTGAAGATCCAGGAACGAGAATTTGGTCCTGGCCACTGTTTGCTGGCACCTGCGCTGCAGAGCTCTGCCAAGGCCTTTGGTGAGGTGCTCCGGCGCCCCAAACCACGATCAAAGGCGGGCTTTGGGTCAAGGCATCATGCCCTATGCTGGGGGTTGTGCTGTATGATCTGTATGCAACTACAAAATATTACAAACACAAATAGTCATGGTGGCGCGTATGTATACTGTAATGATATTTATGACATCAAGTTCAAGTCATTTTCTTCGATGTTCAGTATCTCTAAGATTGCGCTACGGTCAGCCATGACTGCGAAGCGTCCGCTGTGAAGCGTCCAGAGGCAATCACTGCGAAGCGCCCGCTGGGGAAAACCCTGCTTTGGCGCAGCCTCCAAAGGTTGGATTGAGTGGGAACCTACAGGGGCCTGGTTTAGGCTGTTGAGGTAAGGGAGGTGATAGGATGTAATAGGGAGGGAAGGCTGTGAGATGGCGTGAGTAAAAATATAAGACCTTCCAACCCACAGTTTTTGGATGTGTGGTTTTTGTTTTTTTCCATCCTCCCGCGTTGATTGGCACGCCAATGTTGGCCCATATCATCTCACAGTCATTTTTTGAGCGCACTTGTGACAAACTTATTGCAGCCGAAGGCTCCAAGAGTTGCTGAGCTGCTGCAAACGCCGCGACGAGCTTTGATCGAAATCGATCTCCAGGTCCTCATTGATCCAAGTCTCAAGGTTTCGCGAAGGTATCGTTGCATCCTCATCTTGCGGGTTTCTCATGATTTCCGCCAACTTCGTGGTGCAGTTGCTAAGTTGCACTGAGTGGACTCGTTTGCAAGGTGTGGTGTGACTGGCCTTTTTACACAACCATGATTTACCATCAAAACTTTTTTCCAGAGCATGTTACTTGCTGTACTTTTTCTCAAAACTCTTCAAAGGCAGGGACAGGTTCCACGTGGAAAATCATGTCAAATCATATCGTCAAATCCGTGAAAATTAACTACCGAGGTTCCCAAACTCCATCTTCCAAGACAGATGCATAGAGCCATAGAGGGGGCCTTCTGCCACCAAAACACAAGAAACGCCGAGCAGTTGAGATGTGAAGTCGCTCCGATTGGAAGGGTCGATCTGTCGATCTGATTTGCCTCTCGCACTTTGCGACACTTCTATAAGCTGACATAGCTGACTCACACTGCGCTTCTTTTGGAGAACAGATCAGAAAAGGAGTGCCGGGCCGGAATTGCGCCATGTTGTGTCCTCGTTCTTCTTTGCAATGGACACGAAAAATAACACCAACACCACCCTCTGGTAAACTAACGTAAGTATGGGAAATCACCATTTTTAATGGGTAAATCCATTATAAATGGCCATTTTCAATAGCTATATATGTAAGTTTACCAGGCCGGGTACTGGTGGTGAGTGAGTCTGACAGAAACCATTTGGCCAACCCGACAAGCCCTCGGTCCGCAGGTGGCCAAAATGGTGGGGCCCAAGAAAGAGGCTCTGGCGATCGCAGAGGGACAGCTCAAAGAAGCGGAGGACAAGTTATCCGTGAAAAAGGCCACAAGCTCGGGAAACTTCACGTTCTGGACATAACTTTGGACTTTTAGGAAAGTTGGTTGCTTTCTGAATTCATGAATTTTGACTGGCACTCAAGTTTAAGCCAGTTGCTTTGCCGAGGCTGAGCTTCAGGCTGTGCAGGAGCATCTCGCGGGAGTCATGCCACTGATCTGCTGATGATTACTCAAGTGATTTATTAATGATATTTACTGTAATGATTTTCATGTTCGCGAAGCAATAATGAACCACCAATATTTTGATGGTTTATGCCATTCATTTATGGAAACCGTGTTAACTTTGGGGATGGCTTACTATTGCTTAACGTTTACATCGACGGATTGCCACCATAAACCGTAAGACTTGGGGCCAATTCTTGTACACATCCAGTTGTATGTGTATATATATATATGTATCTGGGTAAATTATAATGACCTCACTGCGACCTCACTGGAATCATGGTTAATATAAGGGAAATCATCCCCAAATGGCCTTAATTCAGGTTAGTGAAATATTATAATATTCCCATATAATATATATATATAGTAATTTGTACATATTGAAACAGCAAATGCTGGCTGGAGGACAATGTGGCCAAATTGTTGGAAGAGTTCGCCACTGCAAAGCAAAAGAAAGATGACTTGCAGCAGCAGTTTGAGGCGGATCCATGACCGTGTCACCACTGGTTATTGCAAGCCTCATTTCCATGTCATGTGTTTCATGAATTTTCATGAGGTTTTATGTAATGTTATGTAATGTTAACCTGGAATCGATAAACTGATAAACCTCCAGTTGATTGTTTTGGGGTAATTTCCCATTTTACCAGATTCTGAAATGAAGGCACATTAAAAGCCCAAGCACCATTTATATCCATTTAAAAGTGTTCCTTTGTCATCATTTCAATCGTTCGGTGCATCGTTCGTTCTTGGCTGCAGGTTTGTACTAAGCGCCTGATCACGGCCGAAAAGCTGATCAACGGTCTTGGCGGCTTGGTTTTTTAAGCATGGCACCAACACTAGCCCACACGGACAGGGAACGGAAATCGCCAAATTTCCAGTTCTGATTTGTTAACTTTGGAGGATGTTATATATATATATATAATATAGATAGATAGATAGATAGATAGATAGATAGATGATAGATATGAATAGAAACATATATATATATATATAGGATTCCGGATTTGTGCTCTCCCTATCAACATGACGTCTGCGATGCAGTGAACCACCAGGTGGAGAGAAGTCCCGTTGGCAGGCCTCATCAGCAACTCTCGGTTTGCAGCAACTTGGCACTGCAAAAATCCGGTTGTCTCAAAAGTCCAGATTTGCTGATGATAAAATGATGATAAATCACCTGAGTTTCATGTTTCCTCATTTTTTTTCAAAAACACACTTGAATTCAGTTGTCTCATCATCCATCATCTCCCAGCTACAAATCATTCCATGTCAATTCATGTCATAATCTTTTTTCAGATCCAGAGATCATCAGAGATCGGCATTTTTCGAGGTGGGGATGGGTCAAAACCTATTATTATCAATTCTGGGATGAACATCCATAAATCCCAGCTATGACTTGGGGTTCACTAGGTGCCAGGGTTTTGACCAATAGCCAGATATATCATAATGTCGGATCTGAAAAAAGATTATGAGATATTATCAGAGATTATCATAATCTTTCTCAGATCCATATCCTCAAATTTTCTGAGGTACAACAACCTCACTGGCGATGTACTGATCTCCTCTGGAATAATCGCATATCTGGGCTGCTTCTTGGCGAAGTACCGGAATGAATCCGTTGACTCTTGGATCTCTCTGATGCAGGACCTGAGCTGACAACAAAAGATGAAAAAAACAACGACTTGGTGCGGAAAAATATGGATAAAAATGGGATATTAACGCATAGCCCAATGATTCCCAATTTATGATAATTTATGATAGTTTATGATAATTTATGATGATTTATGGCAATTGCTGTTGGTAATTCATGGGAGTTTCGAGGTATCCCACTGTTTGGGCAATGTCCAAGTGATGCAGCACCGCAGGAAAACAAGGTTCCCTCATCGTCCAGCTTCCTTCTTCGTTCGGTCATTGGAGAAGATGTCGTCACCGGGCAGCAGAGTCTGGCTGGTGGATAAATTGATATAAATTGGGGATTTATCAATTTATCCCCAAGTTATGTCTTAAGTTCATGAGGAAATGCGGGAAAATGCTGGAAAATTCAACCATGGGATGGAATGGGATAGCCGCGTAGCCTGACATGGCGCCATTGATGGTTTCTGGCCCGCCAAGGTCATTCGTCAATGGGTGATCGACAAGCTGCCCAACGACCAGGCGCATGGCATCGGCTGCTCGAAGGGTGCTGAAATTTTTGGGGAAGTGGTAACTTCTCAGTCATGAATCTGTTGACTTTTTGTTGTCCGGAAAATGGGAGATGTATCAAAATCATTACCCTCTGGTAATTTAATCAAATTCACCATTTATAGTGGATTTTCCCATTGAAAATGGTGATTTTCCATAGTTATGTTAGTTTACCAAGTCATTAAACATCATGGTATCTCCAATTGGTGGACGAACGGGCCATGATTTTCGGCCCCCTCCGGACGGTCCCCTCCGAACGTGTCGCAAGGTGTCCATCGACAATGCCCTGATTTTGAACAACTCGCGTCGATGGCCTCTGATGATTGACCCTCAGATTCAGGCCCAAAGTTTTCTGATGGAACTCGATGGAGATTCGCTGATGCCATTGGCTCATTTTTGGGTGGTATCCATGGGTACCCCACCATGGCAATGTCGGAGACTTTCTCACAAGTCCAAATCAGTGAAACCTGAATGCCACAGGCCAACAAGTGGATTCGCAACTCGAAGGGCGAGAAACTTTTGGTTCTACGACTTTCACAGATTCCTGGCTTGCATGATGCGCTGCTTCAAAACCAGCGTTGGCTGATGATAGGAAGGTTATTAATGTTATTAACTTATTCTTGATGATTTTGGGGATTCTAAAACTATCCATGAGCTGGGAATCCCCTTTTGGACCAACAAAAAATAACATTGAATGCACACATTATGTATATATATATACATATATAAGTATAACTCTATAGTACCCGTATATATATATATAGCATTTAACAGCCAGCCAGCTTGGATCCTCCTTAATCGCAGCCTTAACTTATGCGATTAGCCTGGCGCAGCTCAGGAACAACTATGCGCGGAAGTTGGAGGTTGGTATTTCCCAGGGCTTGCCAGTTCTCATTGAGAACGTGCCTGAGGCGAGGATGTGAACCCGCTGGTTACTGGTTGCTGGTTGCAATGAAAAAAAATGGCAGAATCAGAAGGAGTTGGTTGTCATGGTCGACAATTTAGAGGAACCCCTTAAATACATCCAAATACGTATTGCATGGGAACAACCCATGGTTTCAAGTGAAGATTTTCCCAACAAAACCAAGCCATTGACAGAAGCATGATTTGTTGCAGGTGTTGGACCCCTTGCTGGAGCCCCTTCTACAAAAGGCCAAGTTCAAAGCTGGCAACATGATCATGAGCCTTGGATATAGACGTATGTTTTTCGGAATAGATAACGTATAGACCCAAAAAGATAGAACAGAATCCGACTAAGATAGTGATAAATGATGGTGATAACTGTCTTTCTAATACTTTATTCCATTGGATCCATTGAAGGTGGGTTACTACTGGCTTCCGATTTAGGTAAGTTTGGTGGGACCCGCAGTCCCTTCCCAGGATCCGCTTGGGTGACTCAACGGTGGAGTACAACGAAGACTTCCGGCTCTTCATTACCACCAAGTTGCCGAACCCACACTACTCTCCAGAGATTTGCGTGCAGGTGGACCCAAAATGTATCAAAATGTCATGCAAAATGGGTCACTTTTTTGGGGGAAACCCATGGGGGTACCCCATGGACAGCTTGGCTCAAATCTTCAGATTTGCAAAAGTAGTAGGACCCAGCAGGATGTAGTAATGTATAATGTGGGTAAAACAATAACCGACCACCCATTTATGGTGATTTGGGGGATGGTTTATTATTTTTTTGCAATGTTTTTACCCACGTTAATGTAGTTCAATCCTTTGATCTTTTGTTTCTTTGGTGCAGGTCACGCTGCTGAATTTCATGGTCACTCCGGATGGCTTGCAAGATCAAATGTTGGGAATCCTTGTAGCCAAGGACGGAGGGTGCGGGACATGGGCAGCGGTAGCTTAGCATATCTTAGGAAGACATGGGAGACAGAGGCATGAGGCGGCATGAGGTTGATTACCCTCCGGTATAGCTAACATAGCTATTGAACATGGCCATTTATAGTTGATTTACCCGCAACAAATAATGATTTTCCGTAGTTTTTTAAATGTTTATATGTTTACCAGAGGGTATGATGGCTTTCATAGCAGGAAGAACCAGAAGTGGAGAAGAAGCGGCAGAACTTGATCATCGAAAGTGCCCAAAGCAAGGCGCAATTGAAAGAGATTGAGGACTGCCGACTGCTGACTGCGATTCTTGATGATTTTGTTCGGGGTTCCTGGGGCAGAACTTTGACATCAATTCTGATTCGAGATGATGGCAGAACTTTGATCTCATCATTCTGCCATTGTTTAATGATTGTTCGATGATGGTTTCTGGCAGTGCCATTTCTGGCCACAAATCTGGCGCCATGCAGGACAAAATCCTGGAGCTGCTGTCCAATTCCAAAGGAAACATCTTGGATGATGAGGAGTTGATCACCACCTTGGCCAATTCCAAGGTCACATCCACCCGCCCTTTGGAAGCAGGATCCATCAGGAGATAAACATGATAAAATCCATATAAATCCTGGCCGGCTTATAGAATCATCATAAAGCACACTATAAAACATCATAAGCCACAAGCCACACACACACACACACGCATATATATATAAAATATGTATACATATATGTATGTATATATATATACATAGATAGTGCAATGCTTTGTTGATGATTTGACCAAAGGACTTGCAGGATTGTGGATGTTTGTCAACTCCTAAGGCATCGAAGAGAGGGTGAAGGAACAGGAGAAGACACAGGCTTTGGTGCAGGAGACACGCGAGACTTATGCTTCTCAGCTTCGGTCACGTGTGGGTTACCCTTTGGTAAACATACAAAAAGCTATGGACAATCACCATTTTTAACGGGTAAATCAACTATAGATGGTTATTTAAAAAAGTGGTTTACCCAATCAAAAGGCTGGTTTGAACAACAAAACATGGGGCACAATCAATGGATTTAACCACATTTTTCACCACCCAACATTTGGGATTAAAGCAGCCATGGTAGGTTTAGCCAATGCCTGTAGCAGCTACCATTTGGGAATGGTCTTTACCACCAATTTTTGGCAAGATTCTGTTTTATGGATGGGTCATCATTAGTTTTGCCATGTTGGACCTGGATACAGACCCATTGTGATGCAGAAAACCACAGGTGGAAATCAGCAGAGTGCCTTTGCCAAGCTGTTTTTTGAGGTTCCTGTCTCTGTACGAAGCTCCGCTATGTTCTTTGTCATCGCGGACCTTTGCAAGGCCGAATTTCCTTTCAGGACCAAAGTCTAAAGTGCAATGTCTTACTACCACCCTTTCAATATCTTTCAATCACATTATCGTCAGCGTCATCTACTTCTCCATTTGAGAGAAGATGCGCGGGGCCGTGGGATGGTGTCGTTTGACCAAACCACTGACAACGTCGTGCTTCAATGTGGTTTATCTGAAGAATGGGCAACCGGCTCAATTCCAATGGAATCTCATCATTTCCCATATCTTCCCCATATTCAATGACCACTCCACAGCGGCCATACCACTATTTCATTTAGAGAGAGCCTGGCGTCGCAGGTAGAGCCTATGTACCAATACAGCCTGGAATGGTTTATTGACATCTTCCTGCTGGCCATCAAAACTGCAGAGAAACCTGAGCGCAATCTGCAACGGCGTCTGACGGCCACTTGCCAAGAAATTTCCATTGAATTGGATGTTGGATGTTGGATGGTGGACGCCTAAAATTCATTAAATTTCTGCTCTTCTTACCGGGAAAGACTCAACTTCCAAAAGACGAGATAATCATGCCAAGCCCCAGACAAATGATGATTCTGATAGCAAGATGGTACCCCACACGTCGGGGTTAGCGGCTGAAGAAGTCAGGGGCCTTTGAGGATCTTGGTGCAAAATTCTTGACTTTTGTTGCGGTGCCTATGTGTTCCCCGGTATCGTCTACTTGGGGAGTGTGTTTAGGTTCCTAGCACTAGTTACTAGTTAGCATTCCTGAGGCTTTGCAGAATCAGTTCATCAAGCTTCTCTACGAAAAGGCGCCGCGGCAAAAATGGGATATATATATATAATATATATATCCCACGCCCATTCAAACCCAGTGATTGATTCACCATAATTATTCCCCATCAATATATATATATAGTTAAAAGCTAAAAGTATGCTAAAGTGAGGTATTAATTAGTATCCGCCAGTTTTGGAGCAAACCAATATCATATTGGTGGCTGGATAATCCCCAGTATCTCCATGTATCCCCCCTCTGTGTTGAATATATGCACAGTATATGTCACATATAAACATTGTACTGGTCGTATGTACACATACACAAACATAAATAATCATAAATAAATAAATAAAATAGATAAATAAATGGAAACATATTCACACACGCACACACACACAATCACACACATATATATATATATATATATACACGGCAACGACATTTAAATACGTGGAGGGCGGGCGAGACCGCGACGCCCCGGAGGTAGTATGAAACACCAGTTCCATCTGTATATTTAAATGTATGTGTAAACAAATTGAATTCCGTATGCTTAAATGGCCGGGCCAAGGAACACATTCCCAGAGGTAGTCTAAAATACCAGTTCGTATATTCAAAAACCCGTAATTTTAGATAGTTTAAATGTAGTTACCTTATATATATATATATCTCTCTCTCTCTCTGTCCCCAGCATATGGCCAGTGCTATGAAACGCCCCAAAGCGCCAGGTCTGTGACTCGCTTTTCGCCAAAGACAAACTCATGCTGTCCTTATTGCTCACCTTCAAGTCCATGGAGGTGACACTCTCCGTTGGGATGTGTTTGTTCTGAACCAAAGACAACAGGGGATTTGATCCGATAAACTAACAAACTTTGTGAGTGAACGGGGAGAAAAACCAGGATTTTTATTCAAGACTTGGGATTATAAGAGGAGTTGAATGGAACAAATCGGGATTATAACATATTATAACATGATTTTGCTTGCAACAATCATTAGGAGATACCTTCCAGTAAACATACGACATACGAAAAAAAAGCAACGGAGATGGTGGATCTTCAAGATCGTTTGTGAATGTCTACTGGGGGGTAGCCACCAAAAATATCTACGGAAACATGGGATATGATGTGGCTATATGATAGCAATATGATTCTGATTGTCCGTCATATATCCACACAATTACCATCATATTACCATCATGTTACCATCATATTACCATCATATTACCATGACGATATATCCATCATATCATATATCATATATCATATATCATATATCCATCATAACTCTATTTGATTGGTTTGTCATGTCCATTTTATTGTTGGATCGATATATGGATGAATAAATTCTATATAATTCCATCATATCATATATTCCATCATATCAATTCCATCATAACAATTCCATCATATCAATTCCATCATATCATATATTCCATCATAACTCTATCTTTAATCATATTCCGATTTTTTTTTTCAAATTCTCCGTCTCAGTCCATCTCTGCGTCGCGTCGCTGATTGGAAGTCATTGAAGTTGCGCCCGAGGTGGACCATGAGTTGGACCAAGCCGAAAAGTCGTTGCTCCTGGTGGGTGGCACTACTGGTGCGGAGGTCCGATCTGGTAGAACGTGGCGATTTTGAGCGATACAGTGAGTGTATGAATATGTATGAATACGTATGTATGAATGATGAATATAATGATGAATATAATGATGAATATTGTACAATTTCCATCCATATCTCCAAGTCTGAATGATGATCAATGATCCCCAATTGGCTCCTGCCTTCGCCCCAGAAGGCCCCATGTGTAGTATGTCGTGTAATGTGGGGGTCGGCCCACAGCCAAGCGCCAGGTCCGGGCGAGGCCACAAGCGGATTGGCTGAGTGACGTCAGTTGGGCTCGGCTTTCGGAGCTGGAAGATTTGGGCAAAGGTCCATGGCCAGGCAGCTTGACTGACCAGAAACTGGCTCGACTCACCAGAAACGGATGGGGAATGGGGACCGAATGATGGGGACCTCCCTTCCAGCGATGCACCGGGAGTTTTTTTTTTTTTTTGGAGGTTTGGTAGTTTTGGGAAGCTGAGCAATGTCAGGTACTTTGGATCCTGGCATGAAAAAAAAAACTGTTCGACCATTTTGCAAGTGCAGAACTATAGGTTTCACGGAGAAGTTTGCGCAGAACCTTCCTGGATGGAAAGCTGTCTTTGACTCTGACGATCCAGTTCATGTGGCTTGGTAGCACTACAGCTCAAGGCTGATGGGTGGCTGTTCAGAATGAGGAGAGAGATGCAGAGATGATGCAGAGAGTAAGCATCATCAAGAAGTTGCGACCATTTAAAGAACTGTTCTAGAAGAGTCCGGAAGAGAGTATGTCCCATAGGATCCATGTATGCTATATATGGTAACATTTACCATCAACATACCCCCAATGTTAGCATATATACCAGCCCCATGGATCCTATGGGTGTGTTTGAAACCTTGGTCATTTGATCTCCATCGAAAAGAATCGCCCATCGCAGGCTCCGTGGCCAGGGAATCTACAAGAGCAGATGACTCCGGTGCAACGAGCATTGGTGCTTCTTGCAGTCCGTGCGGATGCCACTGTACCAGGCGCGACATTGGTGCGACATCGTTGCGGCGCTCGATTTGATATGGGTTGATGATGGTTGATAGATTCTGAGAGACAATTCTATACTGGCAGGGTATGCAGCAATGTACTGTAGTATGATGATATTGTGATGTTTTTATATGTTTTTGATGTGACATTTATGTGTGACCATGCGATTGATGTGCGTCTGATCTCCCAGGCCTTCAGGATATCATCCTTGCCAAGCTGGGTGCGGAGTTCTTGGAACCACCTCCATTCAACCTTGAGAAGGCGATTCGAGAAAAAAATGGGCTTGGCAGATGGCGAAGAGCAACCGAAATGGACCATTTTGTCACAGGAAAATTCCCAAAGATTGGCTTTCGACCATCCAAGAAGAGGACTTCCAATGAAAAACTCGCCATGAATTCGCGATGTTGTTTTCTTCACTTAACAACTGGGCGTTAGGTCTATAGCGACAGCAACAACGTCACGCCCTTGATCTTCGTGTTGTCTTCTGGGGCAGATCCTATGGCCGAGCTCAATCGCTTGGCCATGAAGAACAACATGAACCTTGGCCCAGTTGGGACATGGTGGCGTGGTGTAGCTACTGGCTATGAAGGCAATATGGATCATGGTGGATGGTGCTTGGTGGTTACAGGAATAGCATGGAATAGCCCTAAAAGAAGTGGCATATGGTGGTTGATGAACTTCAAAACCAAAAGGCAGAGGATGATTGATAAGAGGGGTTGATGGTGGCGAAGTTGATGGTGATTAATCACCACAGAAGCAAGGGTATAGCCCCAAAACCTAAGGCAGGATGATTAGTAACCCCATGTAACCCCCTTCTTGACAAGGGTTGATGGTTGTTGAGGGAATATTTTTGGTGTGGGCGTCCATATGCGTCCATACATTTATATACCTTTTCCCTTTAATTGTCACTAAACTGAACCACCTGTATCTGCCTGTGCCGGTACTATATATATATATATGCTGTAATGACATGTTGTTGCATTGTTCAAGATATGTTTGATACCCTCCAGTAATTTAACATAGAGAGAGAGAGATACATATATATATATAGATATTAATGATTGACAATGGTGATTTATAGATGATTGACCTAAAACATGGCAATTTCCCATAGTTATATAAGTTATGTCAGATTACTGGATGGTACATGTGTCTAATTTTGAGCCCTCCTCACTTCCAACGAGGTTCGAGACGAAGGCAGCCGTGTCTTTGGGTCAAGGACAAGGACCCAAGGCGGAGTTCGCGATCAACGAGGGCAAAACTGGAGGCCGTTGTTAGACCCGCGCCGAAGCATCCGGAGTGATCCAACAATGGCATTTGTACCATTTTATACATTAGAAAACGTAAGTCTGTACTGGGTAAAATGATGAGAAGTGATTTTGGGATGCCAGATTTTTAGACAAGAGCACATATACATACATATACTGGAACTGTAGTGTACGGGTGTGACCAAAGATGAATGTCCTGACGATGAATTAGAAGGGAACCAAGTAAAATTCTCTCGATTTAGGGTCTTATCTTAAACATATTCACTTGCAAACCATGAACAGTGCATCATTTTTTTTAAAGTCTGGATAGCATCTTTTTGCCACGACATCAAGATGACCATGTGCCTGCCGCATATCCAAGCATCAATTTTCATAATTTCCGGGAGGAAATTGGGTGATCCTGCAGAACTGCCACCTGGCTGTGTCGTGGATGCCGGTCTTGGAGAAGCTCGTTGAAGAGTTGGACCCTGATGTCGTGGCGGATACCTTCAGACTTTGGCTCAGCGCCATGTTGGGACTCTCAGGATGTGGTTTACCTTGGTAGGGTCCATGGGGTTTCATAGGGGTGAATGGGATTCAATGGAGTTATATCCCACCAAATATCCCACTAAATATCCGATTGAATCCCACCATGGGTAACACTATATTCATGGGCTTTGGTGGGGGTCCAAGTGTTACCCATCCCACTTATCATCCCACTTGGATCCACTTGGGTCGTTCAATCACACCTGATCTTTGAGGCCATCGCCGCATTTCCCCGTGAGCGTGCTGCAGAACGGGATGAAGATGACAGTGGAACCACCCAAGGGGCTGAAGTCCAACCTGCTTCGCGCCTACCTTTCCTTTGAGGACGCAGACATGGTTGAGGTCATGCGAAAAGTGCAAAGCATGGAGGGAATGGCATGGAAAAACCGATGATAAACATGGAAACACAGGATTTTTTATATATTTTTTTGACGTTTCTTGACGTTTCTTGTTACAGATTGATGTTGGACTTGCTTCGGGTGCATCTTTGGCACGTGTAGTCCAATCATGTCCAATCTCCCGGTCAGGAAGAATGGTTCGACTCAGCAGGCAACAGTGATGCATCTCGCAAAGCCTTCCGCAAGATGCTCTTTGGCCTGTGCTTCTTCCACGCTCTGATCCAGGTTGGGATGGTTGGGATGGTTGGGATGGTTGGGATGGTTAGGTGACGTGGGACTGCAGCGCCAGGGTCGGGTTCCAAACTTGACAAATCTTCTCGTGTCAGGAGCGTTGCAACTACGGACCGCTGGGTTGGAACATCCCTTATCAGCACCTCGGCCAACTTTTTTCTCGATTCCACAATGTAATTGTCAACTGATTAATGAACCCCGATTATGAATTGCAGGGTTACCCCCAAACTGGATCAAAATAATGATCAACTACGAATAACTACGATAAATTACAATAAATTGGATACTATTAATGACTATTACAAAGAAATACTACCACATATAACAGCTATATATATATATATGACGATTGATCAAGTGTTTTTTTAAAGTTAGGATACCTTGGGTTAAGATTCACGGCAAATTCGTGCCCAGGTTTTCTGAGCCGGATCGGCAGATCTGCGTCTCACAGCTCAAGTGGCCCAGCTGCACGTGGTGAATCGTGGTGAGAAGCTGCGGTTTCTTGTGGAAAATCAATGGTTAAACCATGGAAGATGTTAAGCTGATACTGATTTCAGCTTGGTTTCTTATGGTTTCGTACCTCAGTACTTGTATGTCTCGCAATTGAAGACCAATGATTACCATGGAAAGTTTCAGCATATTGCACCTCCTTCTTGCCGCGGTGCAGGATGTTCCTTGAAGAGAACCAAACGATACCGTACGCGGCACTGCGCTACACGTGCCCTGCAGCAATTCAGAGTTTGTTTGACCGTGCCCGTTCCGTGCCCGTTCCGTGCCTGTTGCAGCGCGGAGCGCCCTGCTCCGACTGCGCGGCATCCCCTGAGGGCTTCGGAGGCAAACTACGGTGGTCGAGTGACGGATGCACATGACCGCATCACTATCACCAACCTTGTCACAGACTACTACTGTGAGGATATCCTGAAGGACGTTGAAAAACTTGACTGCACGATTCAGAACATCAAGATGCTGAAGAGTTTGGCTAATGAGCTGTTTTGTCTTGTCCCTTTGTTTTCCCTGTACATGTGCATGTACATAATGTATCATAATGGTGGGATATGTAATCTGTGCTTCACAAGTTCTTGTATCTGCAGAACAGTATGGCAGCTTCACCACTGCAGGATGGCTACAAGTTTTCAGAGCCGCTCCCTCAGTCCAGAGCGTTTCGGAGTTTCACCAGTTTCGCCAGTTTCGCCAGTTTCGCCAACGGTGTCAGCCATAGAACCATCCCCAAGAATTACCCTCTGGTAAACGTTTACATAACTATGGAAAATCACCATTTTTAATGGGAAAATCCACTATAAATGGCCATTTTCAATAGCTATGTTAGTCATTACCAGGGGGTATGGGGCTGCGGGCTGGGCTCACGACTTGGCTGAGCTCACCATCACAGGTCGGGGACCTACTATGCTCCAAAGCATCAGCCCCTTAGTGGCTACTTGGAGTACATCCGAGCTCTACCCATCAACCAGATGCCCGAGGCCAGTGACTGGTGCTATTTCCTGATCCATTTGGGGTGCCCCAACATCTCATGGTTGATAGATGTTGATAGATGTTGATAGATGTTGATAGATGTTGATAGATGTTGATAGATGTTGATAGATGTTGATAGATGTTGATAGATGTTGATAGATGATTCACTTAAATGGTCCATCGAAATTATATTATAATAGACCTCACACTTTTGGGGATATTAGTGATGTCCTATTGTATCCTATTGTTGTTGTCTTTTCATGTCTTTTCTGGGATACAACCATTGCAGCCTGGGTCAGGCATTTGGCTTGCATGCAAATGCCAATCTTTCTGCGGCCATCAAGGAAGGCCTGGGAGCCACTTGGATGCAGCCATCTCAGTGGGAAAAACTCCAAACTGGATAGCGGCAATTGACCATAGCTATGGAACATGGCCCATTTAGCTAGATCATATTAGATCATTTAACCTCATGGTAAATGGCATGTAAATGGTTCATAGTTATCATTTTATCGTTATGTTGGTTTGTGTTGAATTTACCAAGAAGATAGGCCACCCGGACACCCCAATCAGAAACTCCGGGCTGCGCATGGCTTCGCATGGCTGAACAGCACCTGAGGTGCTCTCCACAGCCAACTCCATGCTGCCGAAGGGTGGTGGTGGCGATGGAGGAGGGAAAACCACCGACCAAGTCCTGACGGAGCTGTCCTCGAAATTTCTGCACGACATTCGCGGCTCGGAAAGGGCTTGAACTCCCCCGATTTTTTTGGGGCTGAATTTCTGGCTGAGTTTCCTATATATATACTGGTTGGTGGTTTCAATCATTTTTTATTTTCCATAACATATTGGGAATAATAATCCCAACTGACTAATATTTTTCAGAGGGGTTGAAACCACCAACCAGTATAAATTGTTCCATGATCTAAAATTCTGCGAGATTCTTGAAAAACCATGTTCTCAATTTCTGGGGTTCAGCTGGCAGACTGGGAGACTTAAAATTTCTGGAGCTGCTAAGAGCAGTCTCTTGCAGAGTGTGAAAGCTTGAGGTGTTCCTTTCGACACTGAGTGGCTAGTCGCAACGTACCCGACAGACTACAATGAGTCTATGAAACTGGCTTGCAAGCAGGGGCCAGCTGGGGCGAGTTTTCGGTGACTTCTGTTGTACTTGTGCGTCCCAGTTAGTAAGTAGTTCAATATAGAATGATATGATACCAGTCCACGTATATCAACCACGCACTAACTAATACTATTTGGTATTATATGATCCATCTATAACAACGGTATATCAACTAACATACCAGTAACATGAACCATTTAACCTGCCCCAGATCCTCCTTGAAAACCAAGGAACACAGTGGTGAATCAGGAGGCATTGCGCTTCAACAAGCTCTTGATCCGCGTCCGCGCCAGTCTGGTGGATATCGGAAAAGCCGTGAAGGGCTTGGTGATCATGGGGCCAGCAACTTGTCGGACTTTAATGTGGGTAAAACATGGTAAACAATGCCATAAACCGCCCATGTGGGAATGGTTCCTTTATTTGACATACCTTCCGGTAAACATGCAAAAAACTATGGAAAATCACAATTTCTGATAGGCAAATCAACTATAAATTGCCATTTTCAATAGCTATGTTAGTTTTCTGGAGGGTATTTCCACGAAAAAAACACGATTCAAATTCGTCTATGTCTATGTGATTCTATGTGGATGTGTGTTGACAATGGGGTATACCATGGTATACCCTAACATATCTCAAAATGGCAATAGAAGATCACCACCGCCCTGGGGCCCAGGATTTGGAGGATGTCGCGAATGGCATCCTGCTCAACAAGCAGCAACATGTCTGAAGTGTAGAATCTCAACTTGTCACATAATTGCAGTAATTATATCAGTATATCCCTATAGTATATCCCCATGATATCCCTTTTTTTTTTGCCTCTTACATGCATAGTTTTTGTATGTTTTTGTGGTTGGAAACGGCTACTGACAGTTCTGAGGCCCGCCTTTTGGCAGAAGAACTCCTATCCCTCCCTAAAACCGATGTCGTCATATGTTGCAGATCTGGTGGCACGCATGAATTTCTTCACCGATTGGAGCCTGGGAAGTTCAAAAAATCGGCAAGTGGGACATGATGAGAAATCTATAGTTATGAACATGATGAGAGGTCTATAGTTGTGGCATACATGATATATCTATAGATTTGATGATTTGGAACTATATCGGAAATGATGAGAAATCTATGGGAAGTTTTTCTGAACGTCGCTGGGATTTCGGGGGGAAATGGAGATAGATGCGGATTTCGGAGTTGGTTTTCCCATGTTTTCCCATCCAGATCACCGATTTTCATCGAGCATTTTCAGGATGGAAAATGGACATCCGGCCAATTATTGGCTCTCCGGATTTTTCTTCACCCAATCCTTCCTCACTGGACAGCTTCAGAACTTTGCTACTTGGCAAAACATATGCAAATGGTCTCGGTGCTTTGGCAAGTCTATGCAAGATATGTCAGGGTTTTAATCTTGAACATATCTTGAACATTTTGAAGCCTCTAGACTCTAGACTCTAGACTCTCTTTAGATGCAACGCTTTGGCTTTTGTGTATGTTTTTTGTCATCGACCCTTCACTGCTAGGCGCGCAAGAAGAAGTTTCCGATTGACACTTTGATCTGGACCTTCCACTTTTTGAAGAGGGAAATTGCCAGCCATCCAAAGCCAGAGGACAGCATTGGCAAAGACTGACATTTCAGGGGTTGCTATCACATCTATCATCACATCTATCACGTTGCTCAGTGTGATTGTAGTCTCACATGACCTTAAAATATATCAAGAATATATACATATCATACATACACACACACACATATATATATATATTCCCATATGCAGTCCTTGTAGATTCTGCTGTGACCGGGCCCCTGTGTCACTGGAATGCCAGGAGGGTTGCATCGTCTATGGTCTTTTCATGGACGGCGCCCGCTGGTGTAATGACAAGCAGGTCATCCAAGACAGTCTTCCGAAGGCAAGGGTGGCACACCAGAGACCTGTGAAGGGTGAAGGGATGTGAAGGGAATCATTCAGGTGATTTATCGTGATTTATCGTGATTTATTGTGATTTGGATAGATTTATCAACGATTTATCCATCTAAAAAATGGAGAAAAATTGGGAATTTTGACAAAAAAATGGGGGATTTCATGGGATCCAAACACCCATGTCGCATATCAGGTGCTATTCTCTGAGATCCCACACATGCATTGGATTCCGTGCGAGAAAGACAAGGAGCTGCACAAATCACGAATTCCCAGCTCCTTTGGCAAAGCCAAAGGGTGTTTGAACGGATCGGGATCTCCAAGATCGAAACCGGGCCCGTGAGGACCCTACAGACATGTCAAAAGTCTACCCATCGCCGATCTACAAGACATCTGAACGAAAGGCGGGAAACGGTCCAAATTCATCCAGATTCAAAGCTGTCCTGTGGTCATAAAGTTGTGCATTGTGCATAGTTAATCAATATTAATCATAGTTATAGTATGTTATAGTTGTGCTCATTTCGCCTTCAGTGCCGACACGTTGCGTACGCCAGGGTGTGCTATCAACTACCGGGCACTCCACCAACTTCGTTTGCACCATCAAAATCCCCATTGTCCGACCCCTAGCTCGGCGCAGGTTCAGAGTGTAAAGCCTCTCCATCTATGGCACTTTCAAGAGGGAACATGATGAGCAAGTGGATGGAATGGGGTGCCAATCAGTTATAATCTGGTTGGTGGTGACTGGAACCATGGAATGTTATGACTTTCCCATCATGGGAATTTCATCATCCCAACTGACTTTCACTCCATGATTTTTCAGAGGGGTAGGTCAACCACCAACCAGTCATCGAATCTCATGATGTCAAGAAATCGTTTCTGCATGGCGCTGAAAGGCACCCGAGCACAGCGCGAAGTTCTGGATTAAGCGCGGCGTTGCATGCTTATGTCGCTTGGAGTGATGCAAGCCGCGCAGATTCTGTGGAGCAACATGCATGACTTGCAATGACTTCCAGAAACAAGGGGCATGCTCAGTGGAAATGTGGGACGATGTAGGAAGTAACCTGCCACCATTCACCATTGCCACCCTTCCGCAGGTCAGCTCGATGATTGAGACCGTTGCAAGCTGGAGATGTAGCATAGTTTGGCCATTTCCAGACATTGGACCAACTCTAGTCTTTTTCTTCATGGTTCTGCTGTCATTAAAATAACCTTGATCCTCTTGTTGCTTGGATGCCCAGATTTTGGATGAGTTTTGAATGAATTTTGATCTAAGATGATCTAAGCACCCTTGGTTTACAGCTGTTCCTTTCCTGTTTTCAATGGCTTGGGCGCGGCTTGGGCTCCACAAGTCGGAGCGTCCGCATTGAACATCATGGTTCACCATTAGCCCGATGGAATCTCCTCGTAGCCCGATGTTTCACTCATTTCACCAAGCCTGTTCAAGATGGGCTTTGTGTCACGCTTTTTGCGTGCTATGGCATCTATGGCATGGCAGCAAGGTCAAATGTTTTGTCTTCAATGAAGGGCGTTTTTTTTTTGGGGTGAGGGACGAACACTCACACAAAGCGGTGTGATATCCTAAGCTTTGAGCACGGAATTTCATGGAAATTTATGGAACTTCATGATGTTTGAGGATGTATGAAGCCCATGCGGCAAACATGGAATGCAACTTGAGAAAGTGGAAGGTCTGTTCGAGGGTGGGCAATTGCCCGGTGTCGTCCGAGTCGTCCCAATTCAGATTGCACGGAGCCCCAAACTCTGTGGATCCTCAGGGTGAACATACCCAGACATCTCCAGCTACTAGCTCTGATACAAGAGATAAAGAGATATTACATTTATGTTAGTATGTTTATTATTTTTTTTTATTTTTATAATTATACATATATATATATAAATATAAATGCACACATATACATGAATACTGATGCTCAAGTATGTCTAGAATTGGCGATTCTTCCGGATACGAACGTGACGCAGCTCCACCCGGAGATGGGGTTGCTCTTCATTCGGAGACGTGCGCTGGCACCTCGCCAAAGTGGCGAGAGGCGACGGCAGGTGACGAAGAGAAAACAGGTGGCGTGGCATGGCAACGTGCTGTCCGGCGAAGCCTGAGTGCGCTGGGTGTGGGTTGACCCACACCACGGTAACCAACAGGTTCAACAAAGCCATGGTAAAAAGAACAAGATTAATCCATCCATGTTGTTTCTGGTGGGATGATTTTTTTGACCCATACACAGCCATACTGCCCGCATATAGCCATATGACCACTGTAAGCTCTGTTTTGATTGAGTTATATACCCTGGTAATTTAACGTGGCTATTGAAAGTGGCCATTTATAGTGGATTTACCCATTAAAAATTGTGATTTTCCATAGTTTCGTTAGTTTACCAGAGGGTAGTTGTGATCTTGCGGGGAGGAAGTTGTGCCAAAGTCAACTTTGTGTGCAGCCCATTTCTGCTCGCTCTGCGCTCTTTATAGAGGCCCATCGAGCATCATAAATTTCACCAATTTAGCACCCGAAGATCTGCCTGGGCCATGCGAAGGCAGTTCTAAGAACCCTGGTTTGGAAGGAATGGAACATAATGGAGCTCTGTATAAGTTGAAATGTGGCCATTTCATCGCTGACCATCTCCCCCTATGATTCCCGTTGGGCCTCTAGCAGTACAAATCAGTACAAACCTCGTAGCCAAGGAAGACAAAGGTATGAACTTCTTCGTCTTCCAAGTGTTGGCCGCTGCGGAACTGGCATCGGCCATCGTCCACAATGAACAACTGGCATCGGTTGAAAGCACGAGGCAGGTTGGAATCTCTGCGGGGAGCACTGAGGATCAGATGGAATCAGGCTTACTCGTTGTTCCCACTTATAGCTCGCTTTGATTGACAAGTGGTTTGCAGTCCAAAACGTGCTGCCAAGGGATTCTTAAAAGGGTTCCACTAGAAAAGCTGCAGGAATTTCCATGCGAGCTGATCATCGCTAGTTCCACATCAACCAAAACATATCAAAACAGTTGCAGCAGGGACTGATGTGGACCTTTCATTGTGGAACATTAATTAAATTGGAATTCGGACATGGCTGAATTTTGTTGCAGTGTGAAAGTATCAATTAATTTCCTGTGGTTCAGAGCACTTGAGTACGTTGCATGGGGAAGAAACCGCTGCTGTGAGAATGCTCCTCAATGGGGCTGTTGTGTTAGCTTCAATGAAGGGGAACTTTTTACATCACAATGTATGGCTGGTTGGTGGTTTGGAACATTCTTTATTTGCCATAATAATATATGAGATAATATTGTTTCCCAAAGCGCACAGGATGATGATGAGCGGTTGGTTTTTTGTGATAATTGAGATAATCAGTGATAATCCTTCCCAACTGACGAACTCATATTTTTCAAGATGGTTATTGCACCACCAACCAGGTATGGTATTGAAAAAGTGTCCCTGGGAAACCCAGAGACCCAGAAGCCACGATCGTTGAAACCCTAGGGCAGGATTTGTGTTGCGACCTGCCATTCATGACGACTGAAAGATGGCGAGGTCAATATTACAGAATTCGCCCGCTGCACTTTCTAGGAATGGTTTTGATTGAATTTCCAAATTACCCTCCGGTAATGACTAACATAGCTATATATTGAAAATGGCCATAGAAATAGTGAGTTTTCCAATTAAAAATGGTGATTTTCCATAGTTATGTTAGTTTACCAGAGGGTAAATCATCCCTACTTTCCTTTATTTAGTGACTACCTCTTCTTCTGCGGCAGACAAGCTCCTGCTTGGTGCTTATTGAATCTTATTGAGTGCCCTTTGTATCCCGTTGCTGTTGCTATTGAAGGATATTGAAGGGCTGCCATTGTGCATAATATTGCATAATGAATATTGTATAACATTGTTATAGTTTATATACGTCCAATACGTCTACTGTATCTGATCGAATCGAATTGATTAATCCAATCCAATCTAAATAATCTAAATACCGATCCAATCTTATTTTCCCCTACTGGTAGCTACTGGTAGCTTCATACCTAATCCACCTATTGTATCTGCCCGCCTATCCGATTTGATATTATAAGATATTATAAGAAGGGAACAGCCTTGGCAAGCCAAACCGCAGGGATAAGTGGACTGCTGACGCTGTGCCCAATCCAATGAAGAGTCCAGACAAATGTGGCGTGCGACTTAGATCTCTGGATGTGGCGAGTCGGCAATCGAAGCTGGCAAAGGGCAACCCAGCATGAATCATAATGAATCAATGAATATCCATACCCTCTGGTAATTTGTTACATAGCTATTGAAAATCACCATTTATAGTGGATTTTCCCATTGAAAATGGTGGATCTTTCCATTGCTATGTTAGTCATAACCAGAGGGTAGATGACTTTGTCCATTAAAAGTTATGGATTTTCATGGCTGTTCCAGTGCCATGCTTGGTGCGGCAACTGGTTGAGGCCTTTCCGCGCCGGGATTCATTTGTGACCCGGACAAGGAACTATCTGATAGTGAACGCCAAGAGATCCAGCAGGCGGCCGTGTTTTTCGAGCTGCATGTCTACCATTGTCTGCAAATATCGGTGCTGATAGGTGGCTATGGATCAATACCTATTAACTATTAATACCATTTTTAGTGGGATGAACATCCATTTACCAGCTATTTTGATGTGAACTACAGGGGTACTATTGGTTTTGACACACTGCCAGGTCCTCGTAAATATCAGTCAAAACACTCGATTGCTATGCCCAGACGGCTGGGAACTCAGGCTCTCCCCCAGCTCTGTTCTCTGTTCTCGGCCACCTGGATCCACCGCCATTTGGGCTGAGGAAAGAACCATTCGTATCAGGCTGCGGTGTTGGTCGTCAAAAACATCGCCTCCTCCGAGTGGCTGGGATTCTTTCACAATGACAAGGTGGGCTGGTGAGGATGGCTGATGGCTGACAGAAAATGAGATGACATGAGATGAAATCTGAGGGGGCTGTCAGTATCTGCCAGTCTTAGCTGCTATTTCACCAGTTTATCTTTGCCAGTCTTTGCTTCTTGTGGCATTTTAAATCACTGGTTGGTGGTTTGGAACATTTTTTATTTTCCACAATATATTGGGAATAATCATCCCAACTGACTAATATTTTTCAGGGGGGTTGAAACCACCAACCAGATCATTTAAGTGTGTCAGGAGCGAACTGGCGAGTCTTTTGCCCACCGAGTGGGGGATGGCTGGGGTGTCGGCGATGCTGGCTGTGACAACGGCAGCATGGACGCAGGAAAATGGTGATGTTCACCACCTCAATGGATTGGTTTTGTTGGGAAAATCTTAACCGGAAACCATTGATTTTCCCATGAAGATCATGGGGCTTTCCTGTAATTGTTCCCCTAATCCACTGGATTCACCACCTCAACTTTGCAAATCACTTTCAGGGAATGAAGGTAGAGAATCCAAGGTGTGCTGCTCTTCGTCTCTGTCCGTGACCGCATGTTTTATCTGAAAACAGCCAAAAAGACCCGAGCAGTGCTGACAGACTACACTGCCGAAAGAATCCTGAGCAACATGAAGCCTTTGTTGAAGCGTGGAAAAGCTCCTTGGCCAAACAAGGGGAATGAGAAGATGCTACCCTCTGGTAATTTAACGTAGCTATTGAAAATCACCATTTATAGTGAATTTTCCCATTGAAAATGGTGATTTTCCATAGTTATGTTAGTTTACCAGAGGGTAATGACTTTCCTGATGGATTGGTCTAAGGTTGGTGATGCGGTGCTGAAAGGTTGCACAGAGATTTTGGACTCGCTTGAAGGACGTTCAGTTCCAGTATCTTGGCTCGCTTGAATGGGGTGGAGGTTGAAGAAATGCACCTCCTCTTTCATGATGAACAAAGGGAATACTGCACACACTGCTGCGCCATCCAGTTTTGGTATTGAAGCATCCATTTTTGAGGCCAAGCCCACATGTTCACATTCATCCTGCTGCTATTGATCAGGTCTACCGAAGTTGGGGCGATTACATAACGATTTTCATCCTCAGCATCGTTTTGTGCTGCCACTTACCACAAATCCTGGCTGCCATCTTCCTTTGCCTGGGTTTCTTGTGAATCCGGCATGTTTTGTTTCTCCAGTTTGGCGATTGAAGCTGTGGCGGTCTTATGGTGTGCCAGTCGTGGCAGGGTGGGTATCCTGCTGTACCCCTTCGCCAAGCTCGCTGATGCCGTAAGCTCTTGCTGGAGCAGGCTGCGAACAAGTAGCGCACAGAAGGACTTGGAACGCGTTCAGCAAGAGATGGAAAAGGATGAATTCGATCAAACTATGTGCCCCATTTGCTTAGAGCATCTTGGCTGCATGGAAAAATTCAAACTATCCTGTTCATCCACTTTACTTCTGCAGTAAATGCAGTCGTGTTTTCACGTGGTCCTTTGGGGTCATTTTTGTTCATCTGCTTGCTAATTGAAGAGTCCAAGATGTTCCAAGACGTGGAACTGTGCTTTATTGATCCTCAGGGACTTTCCAGATGTGGGAAAGGTTGAAGACATGCGAAGACTGGAGTGCAAGCACTGTTTCCATGCAGAGTGCGTTGACAAGTGGCTGAAGGAGAACGAGTTTCTTGGCCGCGCATCCCGCACAGTGTTTGGTGGACATGCTTAGCATCTTGTATGACATATATAACTATGACATAACTTTATTTCAGTGATATTTCAATATTCAATAGTAATGTCATAGTTATACCATAGTTATGTCATAGTTATACCATAGTTATGTCATAGTTATACCATAGTTATGTCTTGGGAATATTCAATAGTAATATCTGTAATCTTTATTTCAGGGGAATTGAAAGCACCCATAGGGACTAGAAGTAATCTTGGTAGTCGTCGTAGTGATCCGAAGGTGGTCGTCGTAGCAGTGGCAGCAACATCACACCAATAATTTATCAAAACGAACAAAGTAGAATAGTGCGTCATATTCTATAGTTTATAACGCAATAGAACATGGCATATGACATTATATAATACTAAGTGATATTTCTGATAGGATATAAATGTATATAACTAAACCGTAACAACAGTATGTAGAACAATAACACAACAATCATCATCACCATCCAACATCCAGATCAACTCGTCCGAGGTCCTGCCCTTTGTGCCGTGCTGAAGTCGATGTTCAGCTCACCGATGACGACAAGAAGAAATCCGACAGCTACCAGCGGCGGCTTCGTTTCTATCTCTCAAGACTCAGCGTCCGTGGCCCGGCGTGGGCCTAGGGCATTTCCGAGAAATTGGAGAAGACGAACTGACAAAATATGATAAAATAAGGACAAAAGATAGCATTATATCAAAAAGCCATTAATATCCATATATTTTGCTGTTCGATTTCGGCAGTTTTGATGATGTTCGCAGCCGTTTTCTGGTGAAGAAATGGTTTGGATTTGGTGGCGAAATGATTCGAATGTCAACCCCCCAAAAAGAACATGGTATGTGAGTAATGGGTTCCAGGACTTGTTTTCTATGGTTGCGGATGCGATATCACGAAAGCTAGCGTCAGCTAGCTGGAGTCTTCTTGCTTTAGCAAGTATTGGGGGGGCTGCTCAAGGACATCACGTGATTTTTCACGCGAAAGGGGGGCCCCCCCCCTCCCCTCCCCCACCACCACCACCATCACCATCACCACCATCATCATCATCATCGTCATCATCATCGTCATCATCATCGTCATCGTCATCGTCCTCTCCATCGTCCTCGTCCTCGTCCTCGTCATCATCATAATCGTCATCATCATAATCGTCATCATCATCGTCATCATCATCGTCATCGTCCTCTCCATCGTCCTCGTCCTCGTCCTCGTCATCGTCGTCATCATCATCATCATCATCATCATCTCGTCGTCGTCGTCGTCGTCGTCGTCGTCGTCATCGTCCTCGTCATCGTCATCGTCATCGTCATCATCATCGTCATCATCATCATCATCCTCGTCATCATCATCATCATCATCATGTCGTCCTCGTCATCGTCCTCGTCATCGTCATCGTCATTGTCATCATCATCGTCATCATCAATCATCATCATCATCATTCATCATTCATCATTCACCATTCATCATTCATCATTCATCATTCATCATTCATCATCATCATCATCATCGTCATCATCATCATCATCATCACCATCATCATCGTTATTCAATTACATTTTATCATTATTGGCAATTATTGTCATTATCACGAAAGCTAGCGTCAGCTCGCTAGAGTCTTCTTGCTTTAGCACGTATTCCGGGGCTCCCCAAGGACATCACGTGATTTTTCCCGCGAAAGGGCCCCCCCTGCCCCCTCCCCCATATATATCATTGTTATATATCATATATCAATATATCATTGTTGCATCCTCGTTGGGACGAACAATGCCGCGACACGATGCTGACAGTCCCTCCGCAACTCACCTCTTCCCTTCCTTCTTTCTCCTGCCCCGCTAGCTTTCGTCATCCACCCCCGGCCTCAAGTATGGCTGTGACAAAGCTGATGGTCGTGTGATGTTTGGATTGTTAGAAAAATGCTTTATTATATAAATGTTTAACATCCATAAAACACACACTATTGATTATATAATTTGTATTTGGGTGGTTCTTAAACTGCGGGAATCCCCAAGTCACCATAGGCTTCAAATGCTTTCAAGACAACCAAGGTCACCCTCGAACTTTCAGCAGCTCTGGGAGAACTCCTTTTTACACATCGAGCCATGACTTGTACTTCGTGTACGTTTGGCTCTTAGTTGGCGCTCTTCACAGCCCTTGCTTTGGCAGATTTTCCACGAGATGTAGCCATGGGAATCCTTAAATTTCTATGAGATCAGTTGGGAAATTCCCATGAAATATACAGCAATGTAGGGCAATGTCATAAACCAGCCATATTATGGTTGATGGTTAGAATGCCACCCATAAAAATGGTAAAATTGTGGTGCTTTACTGTCGCTTTACTCACCTTAGAACCACGTGATGGTCAAAAACCCGATGTTGGAATACATTAGATCTGGGAGGGAAATGGAACGCAGATATGCGCAGACACTGCACCTCTATGTACTTAGTAGATGTTCGTAAGTCATTGCTAACCCATCTTCAATGAGATTTCTATCATTGTCTATCTTGCTTCTACTCTACAGCTGAGTCACCATATGTATAGTATGTAATTGTATAAACATATATATATATAATATTATAGGTATATGTATAGGTATATGTGCATATACACACATATACATATATAATCATATATATATATAGATATGTCAGCCACTATCAGCCACAGTGATGCAGCTGCCAACATCAAAGCCCAGGTGCCAAGTCCCGGTTGGACCGAGTCTTTGAATGGCCATTTCAGCAACATCGCTTCCGCCTCTTCCAGCCTTGGTAACTCCATGGGAGGCGCCGTCAAACATGGCTAGTTGGACATGCCCCAGTGGTGAATTTAGGGGAAGATTAACTATAAAATCTATAAATACTCTACAGATATAGACTATATAGTGGATTTTCATGGATTTTCCATTGCAACAATTGATTGCCGGAGGGACATGATATGTAATGATATATGTAACCTGTCGCCTTTTTTGGTGCACGCTTTCCAGGTTTCACTGCGTTTGCATGCATTTTTTTCATCTACAAGCTTGGAATCCCAAACACAAAAAATCGGCTTAGGATGCCAACACACATTGCCCCTTCTGAGGAAAGATGTTTTCATTTTTTGACAACCATCTCATGAAAGACATTCTGGCACGCCGTCTCAGTGCAGCTCCTGAAATGCTGATATCACATGAAATCACATTTGACCACATGCGACGATTAGGAAACTTGAATTGGCAATAGGCATGAATATGAATTGCTCTCTCTCCCTCTCACTCTCTCTCTCTCTCTGTGTGTATATATATATATTATATACACACACGTTATATCTATATATTATATATATGTACACTGGTGTACGCCTTTTTGATTGGCAGATTCTTTTCTTCTTTGTGTAGCTCTGAAACAGTTTCCCGTGATTTTGCAATTCATCCCGCATGGTTTTACCACAGGTGGCGGTGGTGGCGGCTTTGGCGGTGGTGGCTTTGGTGGAGGTGGCGGTGCAGGTGGTGGATGGTGAGTGACGAGTTGCGATGTCACGGGTGCACTGTGCCAACCGCGTTGCGAGAGGAGGCAAAACACAAATCAAGAATCAGGCGGAAACTTTACAAACAAAAAAAGACAAACAACAAGCTGCACATTAAAAGAACATAAAAGAACTCAAAAGTGAAACGACCGATAAGGATTGAAACCTGCTTGAACACGTCTCCGACTCTGCACCCGTTTGAGTTCTGGTCTTGTGTGCAGCGGGACTCAAGGATCAGAGATTGCTCAGGCAGAAAAGTTGCAGCGTGAGATCGTGATGATTCTGGGACTCATGGGATTGCTAATGGAATTTCCTTTGATCATGTTCACTTTTGGCCCTGATGAACCAGCCGCCTTTTATCGCCGGTTTTTGATCAACGATCTTGATGCGTCGCGTCAGAAGGTCGGTCGCAGTTAAAATATGCAGTGCACTGTCTGTGCGACATATTTTATAGGTCCTGCTAGTAGCACGCAGCGCATAATACTTTGCACAACATCCTAAGCCACAGATAATTCACAGAATATTCACAGATTGTCAAGTTGAACATGGCGGTCCCGGAGGCAAGCAATGGACTGGGATAGATTGGCGGATCTTGCCATATCTTGCCCAAAGATTGGAACGTCTACCGGGTCTACCACAAACACGTTCTCGAAAATCCACCGGTTGAATGGCAATTCTGGGGCATTTCTATGGAAAAAAATGATAAACACTTGAACTCACAGTATACCATGGGTATACCATGGGTATACCATTTTTTTTCCAGACCTGGATGAAGGTACAATGCAGAGAACTCCATGAGAACTCCCCGAATTATTTCTGGTGAACCCTTCCCATCCTTTTCCCTTCAACCAATCCGTTGAAATGGCCGGAGGATGTGCCGGAGACTCAATCCAACGGTGACACGGATGATGTCGCTGAGCACCTGCAGGACAGAGAAATCCGGCAACTTTTGCTCCACCTCGAAATGATGATTTAATAATCCAACATATTTTTGAATCATCCAACTTGAATTTGCTTGGTATTCTCAAATACTTGCATAATTCGTTCATACAGATGTATAGATGTTGCATTTCTATGTTTCTGCCTGTAGAAACACAGATTCCGTAGATTCGTTGGTCGTTTCATTCTGGCCCCGGGGGCCCCGGTCCATCCGGCCCCAGGGTGCTGTGGAAGCTTCCTTTCGGCTGAAGCGGATTCTCAGCGAAGACCTCAAGGCTGCGCCACGAAATTCCTGGAGAAATGGGCAAAAAATATTGGAACAGCCTCGCAGTTTTTATGGACAATCACTGAAAACCCATGGGAAATATTGGGAAATCCCGGAATGAAAGATGCTTTTCATGGGAAAATATGCGAGAATCATCGAAGTAAATGGCGGTTAGAAAATTGACACGTCATCTATCAATGGGTATTTCAATGGGGAATTTTTGGGCAAGCCATGGCCAGGATTGCCAGAGGGTATACTCGTAATTAGTTATTCCCATCCACATTAAGCAGCTGTCACCAGAGTCACGGTCGATTGGATAACCTAAGGCTATGGTCTATTATTACCAGGTTAACCTTAGTTGGTACTGCAATTCTAATCAAATTAGATTGAGATTAACCTGAGATATATAGAAATAGGGAACCCTCCAATTTATTGATCGCAATCTTGATGAGGAGTATGATGACGAACCATTTAATGTTGGGTACCTTCTTGGAAGGGACATTGATTATAAAAATTATAATCATTAATTGTCATGAATAATGAATAATGATTATATCACTAATTATATACTAGTTGATTAATAGCATTAATTAAACCATGAATATTCATTGATTACGGATGGAAATATATCAGTAAAAATGATGGATTAGCAACACGCTTATCACTAATCATCAGTAATCATCACTACATTAATCACTAATCATCATTAATCATCATTATTCATCATTAATGATCAACATTAATCATCAATAACCATCATCAATCATCATTAATCATCATTATTCATGATTAATGATCAACATTAATCATCAATAACCATCATCGATCATTATTAATCATCATTAACCATCATGAATGATCATAGGCCAATCCCTCCCCCATGAACTTCTACGGATCCAGGCTGCCATCGTCAATCACCGGGAGGGGGTGAAACGCCCCCACTTCGAAGCACAGAGAGTTGGCCAAGAGGAGGCCCCTGCGACTGCAGCGGTGGAAGAGATTGGAAGAGCCATGAGGATTTACCCTCTCGTAAACTAACATAAATATGGAAAATCACAATTTTTAACAGGTAAACCATCTATTTCTATGGGCCATCTATACCATGGCTATGTTAGTCATAACCAGAGGCTACATCAGAAACTTCAAAACTTCAAATAGATCAACTATTAATGGCAATTTTCAATAGTTATGTTAAATTGCCAGAGGGTACCCTGGAGTAAAACCAACATGGATGTGGAAAACCCGTGGTTTTCCGAGGAAAATCATCTACACATATTACACATATGCTAGTCTTTTTTTAAACGTCAATGTTAGTTTGCAAGAGGGTAAGCATGATTATAGCTTGGAAATCCCTGAACTTAATGGAGGTTTTACTTCAATGGAAAATTCGCCTTTGCATGGTAGGGAATCGTAATGTTCCGTCATAGCAAGCTGTCAAGTTACCATTGGATATGATATTCGGACACAAGATCGGAACATGCTCCACTGATGGATGCAATGAGATGCTGGACACCCGCAGATATATGGTTTTAAAAGAACTCAGCTGAGACTCAAACCAATCAGATTTTCATGGTGAATCAGACTGCCCCTGCAGTCCGGACGCATCGATCGCATCCTGAGACTCTTGGCGAAGAGGGCGAGGGTTTTACAGGTGCATGGCTGCCAGGCTGCCATAGACATGTTCCATACCCTCTGGTAATTGAACTTCGCTATTGAAATGGCCATTGATAGTTGATTTACCATGATTTACCTCTTAAACATTCTTAAACATGGTGATTGTCCATCGCTATCTGACCAGAGGGTATCTTTTTCCGTTGAGTCACCATGGTGATGCCCAGGAAAATGGAGCCTGCAGGGAGAGACAGTGGTTCGTCATGTCCTGGAAGGCTTATCCCTTTTCGAGTTGAAGGAACTTGAGAACTCGGGGTATCATGGCAGAAAAGATGGCAGAAGGAGAACAGGAAAGCTGGTTTCTATCATCAAAGTTTTCCAAATCTGGCTAAGAGATGCCAAATTTCTAGGAGGTAAATCATCTACTATCCGTTTTGTCGTAGTCCGTCGGAAAAGATTTACAGAAAAACATGGCACAAAATAAGGCTGTGAACCTTGAGCGGGTGCTTTTAGTGAAGCTAAGACTTTTTGGAAATTGGCCTTGAGCACTTGCTGGTTGGTGGTTTGGAACCATGGAATTTTATGACTTTCCATTCAGTTGGGAACGTCATCATCCCAACTGACGATTTCTCAGATTTTTCAGAGGGGTAGGTCAACCACCAACCAGCTTGGGGTACCCAGGTATTATCCAGACACCACCAACGAATGGCGTGGTCCGGCGGAGCCTTGCAGCTGCGAAAAAGGATGTGTTGGTCATTGTTGGTCCATGGGCTACACCGCAAATTAGCTAGAAAACAAGGGGACCATGGCTTATTTTCATGGCAAAACCCAGTGTGTATCGCCCAAAAAATGCAATTTTGATTGGAACATATAACCAACCCTTGGATTTTCGGGCAGCCTAGGTTTGGACAGAACCAAATGAAACATGTAGGCCGCATTGAGCCACGTTGCCTAGGAGCTATCTGCAGTCCACATAGCGCAGGCTGGGTTTAACACCAGAGACCTTTGGTACTTCGACGAGACCGGAAAAGGCAAACCAGCAGTGAGCAATACCGTGGTTATAGGGAGATTTTACCATCAAATATGGCTTAAAAAGAAAGACACAGTGAGTGTGATAGTTGACAAATGATGGTTGATTAGTTATAACTAGCCATAGAGTGTTGTACTGCCTGGTTTATTGATGTCTATTGGGCATTGCTATTGCCCCAATGCGACTGTCTATCAACCAACGGATATGAAAGGATACCAGAGGGTTTTAAACATGGCTCAAGGGATAAGATTCAAGCAATGCTAATTGCATCATGTCACGTCACGCTGCAAGCATTTTGGAGAACTCGTTTTTACATGTTTTTACCATTGCTGGACCTGACAGATGAGAGAAATGCTTGGCCCAAGAGTCTTGGATGCAGACAGTCGGAAGTCTCCATTCGGAAGTAATGTGTGTAAAACTATGGTAAATCAATCATAAACCATCCCCCAGTCATCACCATATATCACCATTTTTTGCTTGGTGCTATGTTTACCATTCCCACTTTTTGGTGACCCAAGGTGGTGCTGCCGTGGACCCCATCCAAGCCTTCCGATCGCATTGGAATTTGGATGGAACGCATCGTGGCGATGGGAAGATTGGACCACGGGGTGCATCCTAAAGGTAACGACTGGGTTGTCCCCAGTCGTATATGTATTTATTTATAATATATATATATTTGTCTATTTATTTATGTATGTTTATGTATGTATGGAATACCACCAGTCATTAATATATATATATGGGTTCAAAGGGCTTTTATATGAGCTCTTGACATTTACCACATATCCATATCCCGCTACATTTTTAGATACCGGCGACTGCGACGTGTTCAGCCCACGCACGAGTTTCAGGCACAGCAAAGTTTGCACACATATCAATCTCCAAATTTTGGTTGCAAGATTTTGATCACTTGGATCACTTGTTCTACTCAGTACTCAGTCTTCAACAAGTGAAAACGGCGTAAACTGTGCGCTGGCTGCCAGACAAGGCAAGAAGTCCGTTTGCGCCTTCTGTGTCACAAGGAGTGCCATCCAGGGGTTGCCCCAAGGTAGGATCTCTGAACTGGAGTTGAGGGATCAATCATGAGGTTCTATGAGGTTCTATGAGATTTTGGATCGTTTTGGGCTGGGTTTTCCATGTTAGACAATGCCATGTGCTCTTTAAAAAAGTGCGAGCCAGGATGTGCGCTATGTGATGCGTCATTATGATGGCACACGACCGCAGCAGCCTCAAACATGAGAAACATGGCAATGGACAACTTCCCCTAATGTAGCTCCATAATTTTCATATTATTTTCCCATTAGAACCCCCCCAATTCATACACATTCATGATTCATTTATGGGATATTTTCCAGCCAGCCATGTTTGATGACACCGGAGGGTACCCTCTGGTAATTTAACATAGCTATTGAAAATGGCCATTTATAGTGAGTTTTCCCATTAAAAATGGTGATTTTCCATAGCTATGTTAGTTTACCAGAGGGTAAGCGCACCCTCAATCACCATCTCTGAGGCTGGAACAGGTCATGGAGGAAGCAAAGCCTAAAGCAGCACTGAAAGGTTTGGCTGAGGGTGCTGCGCCGAGCTTTCCTTCCGGTTCAAAGGCGCCGGGTGTTGGTCGACACTTACCCTCTGGTAATGACTAACATAGCTATGGAAAATGCCCATTTATAGTGGATTTTCCCATGGAAAATGGTGATTTTCCATAGTCATGTTAAATTACCAGAGGGTAAGGTGACACACACACACACACACAAAACATGTGGAGATTTGGGATGAGATTTTTGAACTGATCCGCAACATCAATGGTCGCAGGATGTTTGTTATGACTTCATTTTTGGTCGTGGATGATTTAGCAACAAGAAATGGGGATGTGTCCGTAGCTACGTAACAAATTACCCTTTGGTAAACATACAAAAAGCTATTGAACATGGTGATTTATAGTGGATTTACCCATAGAATTGGTGATTTTCCATAGTTTTTTGTATGTTTACCAAATTACCAGACGTTATCAACGGCCGATGTGAGGCGATTGGCCGCTACTACCGTGCCCTGGCTGAGATCGACCTGTGTGGTGAATTGGAATCTCAGGGGTTTCTGAAAATGGTGGAACCCCAAAACCATAGCTGGTTGCCAGGTTTCAAACATGAATTTGATGTTCCATTTCATATATGGGATGTCATCCCCATTGACGAACTCCATGATTTTTCAGAGGGATTGAAACCACCAACCAGATAGGTTTCAATACGTTTCAATACTAAACAATTGCATGATTTGGGGCACCATTTTAGGAAACCTCCAGGTGGTAACCCCCAAGACCATTGAACTTCCTCAGTTTTCCCAGACATGGGCGGTTTACCACGAATCATTGGAAATCATTGGAATCTGATCATTTTTGAATGGAAGAAGATAGCCATCTTATTGTACCACTATACCTTTTGATTTCAACCAGGAATCAGAGATGAACCGGGGAAGTCTCACCAGCCGGACCATTGGAGGTCTTGAGATCATCGATCCCACCACGGATGCCGTGGTCTTTGGAGATGCCAACTTATCATTCGCCTTAAACCTGGCGAGGCACCGATGCTTGGCGCCTTTTGACAAAGATCTGGGAAAAAGTGGTGTCGAAGTTGATGATGAGATACAAAGATATAGAAAGATACGAAGAAACATGAAAACACATGAAAACACGCAATTTATATATAATATACATATGTGCTTGTGCGTGTTTGAATGTCAACTTGTCAACCCCCCGGTAATTTGCGGCCTGCAATACCATGCAATACCTATTAATATCCATTAGTCATTAATCAATGAGCTTTTTTCCTGGCATAGAGCAAGCTAAGGAAAAGCTCTGGGACACGTGGGGCGCATCATTGCAACAACCTTCGAAAACCTGGAGCAGCTCGGTGGAAGACTATCATTGGTGAACGGAGAGCTGAGCGAGAGCCAGTTGGAGCTTTAAGAAAATGGAGTTTTCCAACCATATAGATACATAGGAATCCATATACATAGATCATCATAGATCCATATAAAATCATATAAATCCATATAAATCCATATGAATCCATATGAATTAATCCATATGAATCCATATGAATCCATATGAATTAATCCATATGAATCCATATGAATCCATATAATATTAGATTATCTTAGCCGAACATCCATGAGATTTTTGTGAATGGAAGGTGGCCATGGCCCAATGGCTTCAGGACCTTGCGAGAGCGATATTCCGAGCTGGAAGCTGAGCATCTCGAGTCATCAAACATGGCTGGGGAAATCCTCCAACTAAAAGCTGGGAAAATCAATGAAGAAAGGGTGGATTTTCCGGGCATGTTTGATGACACATCGGATGGTCACAAAACGGTCCGGAAACTGTTGGCTTTTCGGCAACTTTTTTCGAAATGCTCCTGTCATGTCCTGTGAATTGTCCTGTGATCCAAAATTCCAACCCAGCGGCTGAATCAGCATGAAGCAGTGCTGGATGATTGCTGGATGATACGAGACCAGCATGAAGGTAAACAGTGCCTTGGCACATCCTGTATTGCTTGTGGCCCTTTCCGGCCCATGCCAACAGTTGCCTGCCCTTGCATTTCAGCTCAAACTCTTTGTCAAGAAACATAAGAAGCATGGCTGCCAGCTGCTAGACAGACAATCGCAGTATGGATGACTTGACTGTAAGATAGGTTGTAGGGCCTTGGCACTTTTCGAGGAATAAGAGACCGGGTCAAAGAAGATGGCAACCGCATGCAACAGCCTATTTTTTGCACGTTAAAACAACTGATGTGTTCTTTTCCTCAGCATCATTGAAGTACTCCAAATCGCTGGATGGCGCCCCGCTGAATGGCTGCCAGACGTGAGGTCTCAGTATTACTAGTAGTGTCAACCCCGGATTAAGATTTAGCAGGGGGTTCCCCGGTTCCCCCAAATAGTGACAATTTGCTACTCAAATTGTATCCCGCGAGTTAAACAGCCTTGGGGTCTATGAATTCGGGGGTTGACAATATGTTTGAAGATGTTGCATGGAGTTTGCCGTGATTCTCTTATGCTATGACCTGTACAGGAAATCTATGCCACATTGCGGAGATCGCAAGCGAAGCAGTCGTCATGCTCTCGGATGTCAGACTGTTTGGTCATGGCCTTGAAGCATCTTTGCTCAAGGAGTCGCTTTTGTTACTTCATTCTCTTTGCGCCTTCGTAGTGTTTTGTTTGCCAAGGGATATCAACCGCTATAATATGCTAATAATATGCTATATGATGTATACTATAGCAGTTGTTGCACCTGACGTCATTTCTTGATGCCTCCACTGTTGAAAAACGTAGGAAGGAGTGCAGCATCAGCACCACCAAGGCATTTTGCATGGTTTTGCTGTGAGAGGTGGCTCAAGGCATGCTCCCTGGGGGCAAAAAGTAGGGCCAGCGTCCGGCGTCCTGCCATGGCCAATCGAGGCCTTTGCCTATGGGCGTTGGCGACTTTGATCGTTGTGCCATTTTGGCACAGCGGCCTCAGCTTCGGCGTGAAAACGCCCAATTTCTCCGGACGTAGCCGAAGTCCTATCCAGAGAGAGGCCTTGAAACGCCTCACTAAGAAAGAGAAGATGATGCGAACCATCTCCAGGATCAGAGAGAATGGAGTTGGGCAACTGAACAACAGACTCATGAAAAAACAGTTGAGGAGGGTCAATCGCATTGCACAAGATGATGCCTGGGTCAATGATTTCTTATCCTTTTCCAGGCCGATGCCTGTTGGTGGCGAGTTCATCATGCCTCCTGAGGTTGCTAAAGCAGCACTCGAAGAGATCTACGGCGAGGGCCCTGACCTACAAAACATTGACCTCGAAGAGTTGGAAGATGACACCCCCATTGAGGAAGAAGTGAAAGATCTTGAGCGCTTACGCCGCAAAGTGGATTTTTCCAAATCCCCTGGCCGCAGCAAAAAAACCCGCGTGGGCTGGACCTCGGTCCCTGGGGTTCAGAAGTATGTGGGCAGTGTGCCGCAGGAGATTGCCACAGGGATCCATGGCAATGTAGGAGGCAGCGTTTCGAACCGAGGATACCAAGACGTCTGGATCAGTGGAGGTTCTGTTCGCTACGACTACGAGGACAAGCCATGGTAAAAGCGGGAACGACTCGGTGACATCAGCAGATGACTTCTGACATCTTCTGACCTTCGGCAACAGCACACAAAAGTGTGCGAGGCACAGAATGAAGAACCGTGCAGACTCCTCGGCAAAAAAAAGGGAGGCATGCTCAAGTTGAAGTTTGGAGTTTAGACGCATTCTCTCATTATAATCATTAGCTTCAGCATGTTTCAGCATTGTCTTGCGTTTGAGCAAGCATAGAGCTTGACATCCTGTCCGCCAGCGGCCCAGGTATATTCTTGCTCGCCTTGTGTGCTATTCTGTGCAAGTCCTTTGTGAGACCGATGAAAAGGCTTTCGGCTTTCAGTCCAAAAAGATCCGCTGTAGGTCTGCACATTTGCTCGCAGAAGTTGCTAGCAGCCAGCGGCTACTGAAGCAGCTTCAATCGGCCCCTGTCCATCGTGTGCATATCATTACTAGATAATACTCTAAATATCTCTAATTCATATATCATTTATATAATCATTTGATATCCTTCTCATCAACAATATCAGCATCTAATTGTGGTGCCCCCATACTTCTGCCGTAATTTGAAGACTTACGCCGCAACAAATTACCGCAAATTATTAAGTTACCACATGAAGCAAGGTGCCCTGGACTTCTGCGTGCTCATATGACAGAATCCAGTGGTGGACCGTTTCAGATGATTTAGCAAACTGGTTTTCGATTTTTTGTGTTTGTCCTTTCCCTTTACTATGTGATACAGCTTTTCCTTGCAATGGTTCCCTACATTCGGTCAGCTACTGCACAAGATGGAGCAGAAGGTTCTTCACTTAAAGTATGTAAACCGTAGTGGCCGTAGTGTTGCTGTGCCAAAAAAACGATAATAAACATCATCAAAAACATCAAACATCATCATCATCATCATCATCATCATCGTCATCATCATCATCATCATCATCAGCAGGAATCTTAAACACATCTACAAACCGCTGCCATCGGATCGCACCGGTGATTTCCAGCGGACGACAGTACCGTGCACTGCTGTGGCTCAGCTGATGTTGACCCAGTGACATGGTTAAATTACCAGAGGGTAATACACTAATAGTAACGTACTAATTAGTAATGGATAATGCTTATACTGCGATAAATGTTTATAGTAGTCATATATACTTTATAGTATTTTTTCTACTATAGACACTAGTTCATGGTGTGAAAATGGTTTGCATACTTTAATAGTAATAGCGGTGAATATAATATACTATGATGACTTGAAGGATCACCCCACTAAACTGATTGGTAACTAGAGTTATGACCCATGGGATCCTTTGGCCCGGGGTTATGAGGACCAGGCCGATCACCAGGCTGATAAACACCAGCCACTTGTAGGAAAAACATAGTGATCAAATGGTGATGGGAGTGACTAAGAATGATGAGATATAATGAGGCTTATATTAATGACCATGAAACATTGCGATTAATTGCGATTTCACAATGACGCGGGGATAGTACGGATAGTAACCAATAATGATGGGCCATATAGGATGAGGATATAATGGTGATATATAGCTATAGCCAGCTTGATATGTGGGTGAGGGAAATGACGATGAGCCGGATGTTGGGATACCCGTCAGAGAAATCTATATTGCAATGATATAACAGTGATGCAATGTAATGTAAATGTAAGTCTACCTTATGTTACGTAGTATGTGGATGTATGATGATGTATGTAGGTAGTTCTTGACTTTACCAGGACTGTATCAAACATCACCGGTTTACTGTCGGGCTTGGCATAGTTTAGCAAATTATATTCTGCCCCTTCATGTCCGATGTCCTTTCATACCTTTCAAAACATCCCAGGGATTCCCAGGGTATATTTGGAGAAGATCAAAGACGCTCCCCCACTGATCGGAAGTGCAAGAAGTCGCTATCCTCCACATTCTTCTGTGAAATTTGCCCCTCAGGCGTCCATGGTATGTGATTTGCCAAATTTACGTGCGCTAGTCACCTGGCAGCATCAGTTGAAGGATGTTGAATAGGGATGTTAGCTTTTCTACAAACCTTGGCACTTAGTTCAGGTCCGCAGGGACATTCGTTTAGTCATTTTATCACCATTGCTGTGGATGTTGCCTTCCAAACCTGAAGTGCCAGGCCTATGCAAGGCGTCTTTGGTTTGCCAACAGCTACAGCTACAGATGAAAAGATGTGGCAGCGCAATCCAGCGCTGCTTTCGCTTCGTCCTCTTTTTTTGCCCATTTCTCCCAGCAGATGCTTTGCGCCCGGAGATGCATTTGGAATCTCGGCTGAGCCAAGCTGTCAGGTTCCCTGCCGCATCCTCCAGCGGATGTCGTCCTGAGGATTTGGATGCGGAAAGTGGAGATGAGAAGCAACGCCTCTTGGTCGAATCGTCACAGCATCAACAAATTGCTTTCTCTGGGTTAAATATGGTCAAATTTCGTTTGGTTCATTTTTAGTACCCTCTGGTGAACATACAAAAAACTATGGAAAATCATCATTTTCAATGGGAAAATCCACTATAAATGGTCATTTTCAATAGCTACGTTAAATTACCAGAGGGTACTTCCATTTTATGGGTACCCAGAATTTGACCCATATAGACGCTTCGCTTCTCTGAACAAAGCGGATGGTTTATCTTTATTTATTGCTCTATTCATGAGGAAATGATGGTATAATGATGATAAATCATGGAATCCTGGGATTTCCCCAGTATTTCCAGACCATTTGTTCAACCCGACTTCCACAGGCAGCAGCACTGGCCTGGGTACAACGGTTCAGATGCTGATGCAAGCTGCCGACAGCCCCTTGTCTGGCTTGTGATTTCAAAAGTTTTGTGGAACGAACATCCTAGCTGGAATGGTGATCCAAATTATATAACTATGCAATATTAGAATATATTAGACATTAATTAGACCCATATATATCCAGGGGGTTCAAACTTCAAACCCCCAACTAGTCGTGATTGTGCGGTGGCTGCTAGGGAGCTTGACACAGCTTTGTGGCTGATGAGGTTTCTTCATGAGTGCGGACATGGTGGCAGAACGTGGTCCACTCAGTTCAACCACCCTGCTTCTGACCATGGCGATTGAGGTGTGAAAATGGAATGGATACAGCCCCAAATCCACTCGTCCATTCTCATCTTCCCCACCAAATCTACATAAGCCAGAAATCCCATATTACATCATTCCCATAGAAAATGGATGAAACTTGTAACTCATTCCCTATATATATATAATTATATATAATCCCATATAAAACTCATGTAATTCCCACAGAATTCCCATAGAAATTGAACATGGTCATGTCCGTCATGTCCGCATCCCCTATTTTTGGGACCCAGGCGCAGAGGCAGAAAACTACCACTTGGCCTTTGGGGTGTCCAGCTTGGGACTCGAACTCCAAGATCGTGGCTGGACTGATTTTCGATGGACAAAATCCCAAGTTGGTTCGGTGGTTTGGAGGTTGGTTTAGCCAAGAACTGTGGGAGATTGGGTTATCTAACATGGCTGGTTGGTGGTTTGGAACATGAATTTTATTTTTCCTTATATTGGGAATAATGATCCCAACTGACGAACTCATATTTTTCAGAGGGGTAGGTATACCACCAAGCCAGCAAGAGATTTCAAGCATGTTCAACCCATTTCATCCAAAAATGATGCTTTGATCTTTGATTGAACATGGGAGAAACAAAACCACACAATCCAAAGTCACGATCCAACATCATCAAAAACTAAGAATAAAAATCAGCATAACGATCAAACATCATGATAAACTAAAACATTATCATGCACATCTAGCATCCCATGCACAGTTACAGGGCCAGGCCTGTGCAATCGCAGTCTGCGATTGGCCAGGCCTGTGATCCACCAATCGGCAATGGGGGCGTTGGTTTAAACTACTACACTTGCATTTGTATAGTATATATATATATATGTATATATTATTTGATTGTTTTTGATGTTTTTTTGTCAAGCATAACATTTTCTATGACTTATTCGTCTTATTGACTCCATCCCTTAGGTGAACAGAGCCCCAATGGGGACGGATCAAAACCGATCATTGCTATACATTGTTAATATTGTTACACCATATTTTGATGTTCACCACGGGGCCGAGCCATACTCACCTTGGCATATTTGCCATGGTCAAGTTTTTTGGGTTATATAGTTATATATACCATCTGGTTATTTAACATAGCCATGGAAAATCCCTTACAAATGGAGGTTTTAATTGGAAAATCATCTATAAATGGGCCATTTTCCATGGCTATGTTAAATAACCAGAGGGTATATATACCTGGGTTTGTGGGATGGCCATCAATCCATGACCAAAACTGCTCGGTTTTTGGGATTGATACGACTCTACAACCTTGCCATGGATTGCCACCATGGGATGATCACACCTTTTGAAAACGTTTCCCACGTAGCTTGGCTGTGGCACGAATGAAGTACCCTCTGGTAAACTAACATAGCTATGGAAAATCACTATTTTTAATGGGAAAATCCACTATAAATGGTCATTTTCAATAGCTACGTTAAACTACCAGAGGGTATGATTTCAGTAGATCCTCAAATTAGCTTCCGACATCGCCCGTGTACGCTGGGTTTTGATATCGATCAATGTCATCAACCCAAATTTCTGGAGCTGGACTTGCCACCTTGAGGCTTCCGGATGTTCGCAGTGACTCGCGCACTGAGCTTAGAGGGAGAGCAATCATTCTTGGACAATATGTGTATGATTGTGTATGTATATATATATATATAAGATTGTTGTGTGTATATATATATACATACACATGCAGACATGTATCATATATATATATTATATATTATATATATATGTGTGTGTGTGCGTGCACACACACGTATATTATATACAGTGATATATACAGATATTATGATATTATTGTGCAAACATGGTAAACTTTAGAAGAACTTTAAGACACTCAAGGGTATATACCATGCGTGGGGGTATTCACTGCTGAACTCTTAAGCCAAGGCTTTTGAACTGGCAGGACGAGCGAAGAATGAAGGCCGGTCAGCTGTGGCATCATGGCCATATATCTTAGGACTGATTTTGACAACCAGATGGCTCCAGGTCACAGCATGGATTCAGATCCTTCCTCTCCGCCACTTGGATCACTTGGCAACCTGGGACATTTGCGTAGGACTTAGCTGATAACATAGATGTCCTATTTTCCGGGTTGATCAATAGTGGGCCCCCTCCATTCAACAACCTTTATTGGTAGATAATGATAAATAACATGCCAAACCGGCAGCTCTATTTTTCTGAAGGGGCCAATATTGGTTGACAAAGCTGGCACATCGTTTCTAAACCCAAGTCTGCTTGTGATTTTCTTGATAATTTACCAGTTCCAATATTGTCATATACCGATACCAGAAATTGCTGGGATTCCTAAGTTCAACTATCGTCCCCAAAAGGCAGAGAAATTGTCAACCAATCATAATCCCCCATGAAATATCACTATCTACCGTGTCATATATATATATATAAATACACACATATATCCGCACTTACAGATGATGTTCGATCAGTTTTATTGTAACCCTGTTATTTATGGATTGTCAACCATAGTAGTTCACCATTGTATCATTATTCAGCCCAAGTAGAAAAGTCACAGTCAGCACCTGGCTTCACCGCCGCTCTGAGGCCGAAAAACAAAGAAGAAGAAACAAAATCCATCGTAGCAAAGTCCATCGCAGCTTGCGCTGAACAGCTTATCCCGTAGCTGACCCCCAAATATGGTCATTAAATAGAAAAACTGCCATGGGCAAATGCTGAACAACGATTTCATTTTTTTTGAATTGGGGCACCCAATCTTCAGTCAGACCAAAAACATGAACTGGCGCCATTTTAACAGACATGTGAACCATTCCCAATAGTCATCAATGAGTTTTAAAGCATTGGGTGCCACTCTACATAGATTTTGCTGCAATTTTGGTCCATGTTCGGTAGTAAATCGTCCCATTTTGGCGATGATCCCAAATTCGAACGATGCTTCGGGTTTTGATTTGAAGAGATTTGACCTTGCAACTTTTCGCATCCATCACCGGTGTTGGCTGTGACAGGAATTGATGAAACCCGATGCCAATTTCAGCTGCCAAGACGATCGAAATTTGGATCTTTGGCTCCGAGCTGCTTGGTGATATCTTGGTGATGATGGTTGCTATCAACAAACCCAATCAACTTACCCTCTGGCAAACAAACATAGCTATTGAAAATGGCCATTTATAGTTGATTTACCCATTAAAAATGGTGATTTTCCATAGTTATGTTAGTTTACCAGAGGGTAATAAGTAACCACAACCAAGCATATTGTTATTGTTGGAATTTGTTGGATAAAATGTCAACCCATGTTGTTAACATCTCTTAACTGTCATCAAACCTCATCCATGATATTAACTATCATTAGACCCATATTGTTGGGGGGCCACCTTTTCTTGGGCAGGGAAGTTACCCAGATGGAATGCGGCAGTCGATGATTTTCTCGGAACTGAACTGAGGGAATGAGATCCGAGCTGGGTACAAGGCACAACCCATGACCAAGTCGTTGGCAACTAGCACCTGACCACAGTATGATGCAGAGCAATCTCGTGCCAGAAAAACAGAGCCCATTCAGATAACTCCACGTCGACCAGAGAGTAATTTTGAACATTTGAACATTTGAACTGGCAATTGGTCAAAAGTCACTTCAGAACTGATTCTCCCTTACCCTCTGGTAAATTAACATAGACCCTGGCAGATAGGGATTGGAAGACTAGTTTCCATTAAAAATTGGTGATTTTCAGGGTCTATGTTAATTTACCAGGGTGTATTTGCCACTTCATTTCAAATTGGGATGTCCCATTGCCGAGCTCGCCTGAAGGAGAGCTCGGGGGACTGCACAACATTTTCGCGCCCGCACGACGTTGAAGAACTATTGCAACATCCTGGAAATTGTGAAGGACAAGGCGCCTTTAAAGCCTGCTCCTTAAGCCTAAGTCTAAGTAATAACATGTATTAACATGTATTAACATGTATTAACATGTATTAACATGTATTAACATGTATTAACATGTATTAACATGTATTAACATGTATTAACATGAATTCATGTTTGAAAACAACCTGATACTCACAGGATCTAAAGCAGAATACTTCAGTTTTGTCGGAAATGGGTGGTATTCACACCCATGGTTCCGTTAAGTTTTGCCATCCGCCAGGCCAGAAATGTTCAGGTTGACATGGAGGACGTGAGGCGCCTCCAAGAGGTGCGAAATCGGAGTTTCTAAAGTCATAGGGGCACCCCCAGCTATCGTCCAGCTATCAATCCAGCTATTAATCCAAGTGAAACTGGTCATTTTTGGAATATATATATATACGAGAAATCTGGTGATATATATATATATATATACATATTATGTATAATATATATATATATACATACATATTTTTATATTGGGGAGCCCAATGATGATAAGCTTTTTTGGGCGAATATGGGGACACTGAATGATGATAAGTTTTTGTTTTTTTGACGAAGCATGCTGCCATACTGGGTTTCATCTCTGCCAAAGTTTTGGAGGCAGCAAGTTCTGTTGGAGCAACCAGAAAGATGGAAAAGTCTTCGCCTCAAGCTTTTTGTGGTTTTAAGATGTCTGTGGCAACAGTGAGACAGCTGACAGCACCATGGACCATTGCCTCTTTGTGGGAATGAGATTGAAAGCAGAGTTGACATCAGAATTCAGAATTGCAAGGCTTGGCTCCTTTGCTGAAAGATATGGTTTGTTTGAGATTTTCGTACTGTATCTACCCCAAAAATTCATTGGGAGATTATGGCAATAAAATCGAGTTTCCCTCTCTTTTTGGACAAACCCAATCATGTTGTTGGTAAATGTTGGTTATATATATCATATTATGGGAATATCCTATTACATTCTATTAATAATTACTATATTTTATTGTCTCCTGTCCTAGTGTCGCCTAAAGCAATAGTAAACCATCCCCACATTTACCATAAATGGATGGGATTCCAACCATCAAAAGATTGGTAGTTTATTATTGGTTTACTAACATTATCTCCTATATTGTATCCCTAATTATCCCATAAATTGCTGGGATTGTATACCTGAGGCCCGAGCCTGTGCAGCGTGGTCCCATGCATCAAAGTGAAGAGGACAAGCGAAATTGGCATCGTGCAGCGTTTTGGCAGCAACTGGCCAAAGTCAGAAATTTCTCAATCTGAACGAACTATTTCAGCCTTTTGAACTAGATAGTTCGATAGATAGACATATGAACCAGATACGATAGCTTAGATGGATAAACTACCACTAGACTAGGTATAGGTACTACATTGAGCGCTACTGTGTTCATGCTTGTTCATGTTTGTTTATGTTGTGCATGAAGACGTGAAACAAGCGTCTAACCTGCGTCTCCGTGGCGGACCAAGGAAGCGATCCGGAATCTGAACTGGTGACTCGTTTGGGGGGACAGCCAGGTCTTGATTTGGTTCTCAAACTGGGTGATATTGCCAACTAAGTAACTAATATCAACATATATCAACTACAGATTTATATAGATTTATGATGGTTTATGCCATTTTGGTTCATTTTGAGTTTTTTATTGAGGGGAATGACAATGAACCATGGAATTGGCTCATCCCTGATTGGTTTCGACCCGGCCAAGGATCTCCAACTGGGATGCTTCAGATGTCAATCTGTTGAAGGAGCTTCATGTCAGGTCGGGCTGCCGCCACTGCCCGTCGCTGTGCTTCCATACCCTCTGGTAATTTAACGTAGCTATTGAGAATGGCCATTAATAGTGGATTTTCCCATTAAAAATGGTGATTTTCCATAGCTATGTTAGTTTACCAGAGGGTATCTTCCCTGCGCAGGGCTGTGATGATGAATAAGAACCTGAACAAACTTGCCACTCGGAGCCTGAAAGTCGTCGCAAGACTAAGTGACCAAGTCTTTTTGTTCAGCAAAACTGCCCACAGCGGTAGCATGACATATTCTGCCAGCCAAACGAGGTGCAATTTAGTGCTGAGAGTGCGGAGCCCCTCGGCTTATGTGGGAAACCCAAGAAAAACCCTACCATTTTGGGATGGGTTTGCAGGATCCATTTGTAGTGATTTTTGGGATGGTTTATTAAATATTTGGTTTGCCACAATTCATAGATGTTATGTATTCTTCAGATTTCCTCAGACTGTATGCCCATCTCAGTGCTGGTGTCGCCTGGGCCCCAGGGTTGACTGGCTGACGGTCGAGCCTGAGACGACCAAGAAGCCAAGTGGGAAGGCAGGCCGCGTCAAAGAAAAGCTGCTTGAGGGTGCAAAGTTCGTCGGCAACACAGCTGCAAAAAGTGAACCCTTGGATCAGATCAGATCATGGGTACGATGTGGCACTGCCAATGGTTGGCCGAAAATGATGAGGCAAGTACACAAAGGCATATCTGAAGAAATTGGGCAAGAGCAGTACGCTCTTTTTTGAAACTTGGCGAGCGGGATTGGACACACGCATGTCTGCAAATCTACTTCCCTTTGCGCGGTCGGCCCCCTTGATGGGTGATGATCATTGCCCCTCTCATTCTGGTCATTCTCAGATTCTGCCACTCTTGTGTTCTCGGAAATTTCCATCATTTTCCTCAAAAAGCTCCACTACTTTCCCCGGCACCTCATCCACTGCTAACCATGCCTTGCCTCACCGTGCTTCCTCCAAAAGATTTGTTCGTCATACCATTTGGATCCATTTGGTAAGCAGGGCCATGGCCGTCGTTCTATGAGAATATCCACTCTACTTCCAATGCTTGTGGTCCACATGCATCAAAGGCATGAGAAAGGATAAGACGTATTTGATCAGTCGTGTTTTTTTGCAGATAACATCCAACTATAGATCATACTAAATCACCATTTTTGTTAGTTATAAGTTATAAAGTTATGTTATGTTATGTTATATCCCTATACCCCCATGAAGTCACAACCTGAAGACTCCGATCGCTCTTCCAAGTCGAACTGCTGGAGCAGCTTCAAGCGTCATCTTCGGAATTCTGAGCGCCGCTGCGAGAGGGAAAATGAAGAAGGCGCGGTTAGGCCAAAACCGAGAAACAAAGCACAAACCGAAACCCAAGCCATACCTAAAAAGAATTCCAAACATATGTAAACATATTCTAAGGTATTTGATGGTACTTACTCGCTCATTGTGTATATATTAACTAGAGTCACTAGAGATTTAATGAGATTTATATAGAATGTTGCATCGTTTTCCATGGATTCTTTAGACACTTCAGTCAGGCCAGTCAGTCTCTGACACGTTTGATGTCAGGTTCTAAAAAAGCTGCAAAGACGGCCGGACTTCCACACAGCACCAGCCAAAAGACCATTTCCCAGAGAGCCCACAGATTGTCAAGCATGGAGGTTGGAGTGTCCTGGCCTCGAATCATGACACGAAGAACACGAAGGTCACGGTCACAAATCATGACGTGGCCATGGACACAATCCATTATGGCATTAAACTCCACTAACGGTTGGGGTTTATGGTAGATATATCATGATATATCTACACTTACTATACTGCGTGGCTTATAAGCCAAGAAGATCCAAGAAGCATCACTGGGAGGGCGAAAATGCATCGGCATTTTACCGAGAAAAACCTCAGGTCCTAAAGAAAGAACGCGGCAAAGTTGAGAAAGCCATGGATGTAGCGATCCACGATGCTGATCTAGGCTCTAGCGTGCCAGCGCTTTGATCACCTAGGATTCTACACAGGTCCCCAAAAAGATACATAATGTTTTTACAGGATGCTGTGGTTTGCAGATATTTACAGATGATGTTTCTTTCAACCATCATTTCCAGATATTGACTTTTTTTTCTATCTACTGTATCACTGCATTGATTCAGAAAAATCCAAGGAGGAACAGGAAAAATCCTGGTTTCCCCATCAAATCTATAGGGGGGTCCTGGCTGCCACAGGTTCCCTTCCAGAAGACGAGGCAAAAGCGAAGCTAGGCGACACAACGACCGCTCGATTTGGGTTGATGGGTGGACCGGTAGACCTGGAGTTTTTTGTGCAACCACCCAAAAACGATAGAAAAGCAGAGAGAAAAGTACCCCCTGGTAAACTAACATAACTATGGAAAATCACCATTTTTAATGGGAAAAATCAACTATAAATGGCCATTTTCGATAGCTATGTTAGTTTACCAGAGGGTAAATCAATTTCTTTTTACATCCATGTCTTGCTGAGTATTTCATTTGTAGGTCACCAGGTCGCAACTTGACTGCCGACTGGGCGTCAGGCACTGTTCGCCAAACAGCACAAGAACTTCACCAGCAATTTGACAAAGGACTGGCTTCGTGCAGCCAGACATTTTCTGGGGATCTTCCAATGATTTTCCTGAAATGTCGCCCCTACAGTGGAGCCTGAGAAATTGGGGTAGGTACCTCCAACTTAGCTACCCCCAGAACTGGCCATGGATTGATATTTTCAACCATGGTGGATGTAGGTGATGAAACCACAACTGGAACCAGAGAATTGTTTGATATTGTTTGTGTGTTTTTTTTTAAATCATGGGGATGGGATGAATGAAATATTCATGGATTGATGGAATATTCGTGGGATCACCAAGAATCATGATATTTCATGAGCCTACCATTTGGATCCATTCGGGGGGGAGTCACCATCGAAAATAGGAATTCAACCACCGAAACATTCGGACAAGATGATGGAGATTTTCCCAGAAATTGGTTGGAATCCCCAGCTATTTCTGGGAAGCCATTGGGGGTGGTTTATTGGATCACATGGTAGCCTCTGGCAAAGTGACAGTTTGTGAACTGGAAAATCACCATGTCAAAGTTCGGAAAATCATCTATAAATGTTGTTTCTATGGCAATTTTCAATAGTTACGTTAAATTACCAGAGGGTATTTCCACCAAGAAAACACGATTCAAATTCGTCTATGTCAAAAATCACCATATTTACTGTAATGTGGTGCCCTTTGGCCGTTTGATAGGAAAATCAAGTAAATTTCTATGGCCATGTTCAATATTTGTTTACCAGATGGTACCCTCTGGTAATTTAACATAGCTATGGAAAATCACCATTTTTAATGGGAAAATCCACTATAAATGGCCATTTTCAATAGCTATGTTAGTTTACCAGAGGGTACCCCATTCCGAAGCCAGCGACATTAGCTCCCCCTTGATCAGGAGAGCTTGACCGGATCGATGAGGCCGAGGAGATCATCGACGAGGTCGAAGGCACTGCCACTTGATGGCGCCATGGAAAAGCACCATTTTTTGCATAAGTTTCATAGTTAGCTATTATTATAAATGGCAATGTTCGATAGCTACGTTAAATTACCGGAGGATTATATATATATATATGTATGTATGTTATTATGTTATAGGTAGAATCATTTGTTGCCACTGTCGCAGCCAAGGTTTGCAAGACTCAACGAAAATCAGCGTTCCAACGTTTGAAGGACCTTGACGCCTTGATGGCGTTCTCCGTGTGATTTCTTTCCTGGCCTTGTGTTTGCTGTTCTGCTTGGGGGTCGGCCTTTGCTGAGGACGTGTTCCGAAAATCGAAGGACTCTTTGATGGCTGGCTTCAAGATGACAGTTCCTTGACTCCACTGAACATGGCCCTTCACATGCCACCACTTATAGCCGGAAACATCCAAAAAACATGGAGGAAATGATGGGAAACAATGATTCACCATCCCCAAACTGTTTTTTTCTTCCCATATTTTTCCCATTTTCAGACCAAGAAACGGAGCCGATTCCAGCATATTCCACCTGAATTTTGCTTTCATGTTGTAACACATCATTCCCACTATATCATCTACCCCTCTGGTCAATTAAAAATTGGTTATTTTCAGGGTCTATGTTAATTTACTGGAGGGAAAACATCATCTATATTATACCATGTGTCCATTTTTCAGATCATTTTTCTCCTTTCTTCCCACCCTCAACACATCTCAACATGCCATGATAATCCATGATATCTCTCGATGCCCCTGGTCAAATTCGGCCCTGGGAGGCGCCCAATTTGGGCATTCGCGGCGTTGGGATGTCGGCGTCTGGCTTTGGTGGCGGACTGGAAGAGGTCACCATGGAGAAAAAGCGTGATATATTGTGAAGTACTATTGTTTTATAAGGGGCTTATATACTTATTGTATGTCATTGTGATTTATATATATATATACTGTAATACATCTGAATCTATACTTATTCCTTGTTTCAACATATTTTAAATGATTATGGCCTCTATATCAATATTTCTTAAGACGGTTTGAGTCTATGTTCCCTGCTGAAGTTGTTCTTGTGGTGGGATTCACCATGACAACGACTGTGACCGCCTTGACAACTTGACTGTCAGCCGCGCATGGTGTAGGTGGTGGACTTCCGAAATCGAGAGATTGCTCAGTTTCGGCCCCTTGGCATCGGGAGCGAAGTGCTCTGTTCTCCATGTGCGAAGGGTAACACATGCAATTTACGCGACACCCAAAAAGATCGAGGAAATGACCACTGCTTTAGGCTTAATTACTTTATATAGTAGAATTAGACTGTTCATGACTGTTCTATCTTTTTCTGGGTTGCTATTACACTTCCATATTATCTATATATGACGGTTCAAAACGATGGGCGAGAACTGCAGGTGGGGTGCTGGCTTCTTTGGAGCTTCAGTGGGAGGAATGGGCATGGGCGGCTATGCGGGAATCGGCTGGAAAGGCGCGGGGCAATGTCCAGCGGACGCAGCTCTGCACAGCTGACGCTGGTGAGACCCTGTCAGGATATAAAGAGAACTGGACTTTGCAAGAGGCCCAAGTCACAGGCTCACTGCACTTTTGGTAACCCGTAGCTGAAACTGAGAAATTTGAGAATGACACCTTAAGATTGCTGAGCAATCTGAGCAATCTGAGCAATCTGATGAAGTCTTTGCTTTGTTGGATCGCTTGGAGGCCTTTGGACTTCCAAGGGTTTGACACCATCCATCTTCGGGATCAATGCAGGTCCGGTCGCATATAGAGACCACAGAGGTTACAACTCTTGCGCGCGGACCATGTTTCGCGACTGAGGTCTAAGCGTCACCTTCGGGACTGATGCGGACAATTCAGTCCCAGGTGCCTGATGTGCCTGGTGATGGTTTCATGAACGCCTTTACTCAACCTGAGCCGGTATGATGATCAGCCGAACTGACTAAGGGTCTCAAAGTTGTATGATTTATAATAGTTGAATAATAGTTACTACTACTATATAATAATATACAATACTATATATATACTATATATGAGACTTAGCAAATCAAATCCCAAGTGACGGATCTTTTCGGAGCGCGTTTTCAAGGCCCATGGGTGCCTGAGCCACATGGCATGAGCAGCGTGCTATTGGGCTGGAGCGTGACCTGGCTCACCTCGAGGTGGTCCAAACATGGGAAACAAACGGAAAAAACGGAACAAAAAAGGATTCCACCATTTTTGGAATAGGGAAAACATATGGAAAATTACTGAAAATTATATGATCAACCAGTTCATACACTTCCTTTCAATGTAGGTCTAAATTCATTGTAAATGGGGTTGGTGTTTTCCCAAATTGCACAAACGTGTAATGCCAAAATCCCATATATCATTCCTTTAAGGATTGCACATTTTTTAATGATGTGGTTAAAACAATGTCATAAACCACCCATTTGGGAATGGTAAACATACTACCTATAAAAATGGTGATGACTGGGGGATGGTTTATTATTGTGTTACCCACATTAGGGAAAATATATGGAAAGTTATGATCAACCAGTTCATACACCAATTGCGTTCAAAATTGGGTGCCCAATTTGGGCCCCATGGGCAAAAAAGAGGCTGCCCGCCCCCATCGCAAAGGTCGGGGCTAGCATCACAAAGGCGGTGGTGCCAATTTCAGTGGACTTTGGCGCATCCTACTGTTGGTACCTGACTCTCCGCTTGCAAATCTTGCGATTTTACTCTTTTTTGTCACAAAAAATCACCCCCGGATCCGGATACAGAATATCTAGGACCATACGGTGGGGGTGTTTAGTATGAATGGGGGATAGGGTTACTCTAAGATCTCAGCTTCAGATGGTCAGGTTATGTCAAGGTATGTCAAGTTGCAAAATCATGGTCACGCTGGAACATGCTGGAAAGATGGGTGTGTTTCTTCACGAATTCTAGCCTGGCATCGATGGCACCCTGATGAGTGATATATGGGGGTTTCCTAAAGTGGTGGTATTTTAGTCGGGTTTTCCATTATAAACCATCCATTTGGGGGATCCCCCATTTCAGGAAACCTCCTAATATATCATAATCACTCTATACTGATCACCAGGATGCCAGGATCGGCTTAGATGAATGGGCGCCATTTTTTTTTGCTTTTGAAGCCCCTTTTTTCTGCGGTGCGAAAACCATGGTCTCCAGTAACCTTTCCCTTGAATCCATTCAGTTCACTGTGCCCCAAGAAACTCGGAGTGCTTCGAATCCTTGGAGGAGTTCATCAAGCAGCATGGCCGAAGATGAAACTTGCAACTGCAGGGACTTTCTTACAATGGGGGACCCCACCAACCATCCAAAAAGTCCATAAAAATGCTAGCTGCTAGATGCTGCTAGTTTTTGCGTAGGAAAACCATTGGCTTGGGGAAGTCCTCCATTTTAAACCAACAGTGCTGTTGACAGCTGGTTTTTCTTTAGTCTCTGAGAGGTACTTGTGGCTCCCGCTTTGCAAGGATTGTCAAGGAGGGGGAACACAGCAAGAGAATCGGTCGAATTGGTTGTCATCTTGCAATTCCCATAGGATCCATGGTGCTGGTAGATTAGTGCTAACATAAAGGGGTACCATATATAGTATATAGCATACATGGATCCTATGGGATTTGGATGTGACAACTATGAAAAACTCGCAGAATCTTCCAGACTTTCTTGAAGACCTCAGCCACACAGAGGAACAAGCGAGCGTGCCATCGTTTCTGGCTTGCGCTTTGGGATTCACGCGCCCAGCTTTCCAATCATCAGCCCTGGCACTTAGATCACTATCAAAGATGATGTGTAGAAGCCTGGTGGAATTTCTTCTAATATCACCTTTGATTAACTTGAATTTTATTCCAACGCAGTGGTCATTTTCTGATCGAGATTTGTTGAATCCGGATGACCTGAAGGTGAAATGGCCTTTTCTGTCATTGCAGCCTTGTATGACCGGCGTGTTCGTGAGACTGACTACAAGCCAGAATGCTCACCGGGCAGTGTGACAACCAGAAGCTCGGTAGTAAACTGCCAGCGCTGCTCTGGCTGGCTGATCGGTGTTGCCTGGGATCACCGATCCATAAATCTCCGGCGCAGAACTCTGAGGAAAGGATCCGGCGCACCTTATCCGCCAAATTGGAGATTTGATGTTTACCAACGCACGGCTGCTGGAAGACTTGGTCAGCAAATGGGAAGCTTGGGATGGAGAGAATTGCTGTGTCCCAAGTATTGGAGTCATCCAGACAGATCCCCAGTCATTACCCAAGGATATCCCAAGGATGAAGAGATCCTTTTCTCCCAGATTTTCTGGAGATCTGGTCCATGAATCCAGTCAGAACCAAGTGTCGATGGATCCATTTCCCCCAGCCGAGGATGTCTTTGTCCACGAGATGAGCATGGCCGAGGCGTACAACCCTGACATGGAGAAGTCCAAGGAGTATAGGAAATGGCTGAAGGCGGACGCGGGAGCGGACGCGGGAGCTCAAGTGCACTTCATGGTGAAAATCACCATATAGAACTAAGAAAAACAACAGGTGATGGCCATGAGCAAAATATATAGGTTATACGATAGATATCTATAGATTAGAGGTGATTAGAATGAATAGAATAGATCAGAGATGAGATCGGCATACATTGTTTTCAAGCTTGCAAAGCACATTTCTCGTTTTCCCGTGGTCCAGTCTGTGGCAGTTCGCTGATTTGTCCAGGCTGCAACTACAGAATTTCAAGCGTGTCCAAAGCAGGGCCCCATCTCAGAAATCTCGAGCGACACGATGGACGTGTTCAAGCAACTGGCCTCAAAAAGGGCTGAAGAATGCTGAAGATGTTTCCGAGATTTGCCGTGATTGGCTTGCTATGTATCATTCAATGTTAACTCCCTATGGATCCAAGTACCTTCTTAGGAAGTGTTTGGGGTATAATTTACTATAATTTACTATAATTTGGAGGGTTAAGCACCTTCTCAGACAGTGTTTGGATCCATATAGGGACTTGTTGTTTAATAAATCCCTAAGTAGGATGATGAATCCTCCCCGATCAACAAAAGTCTCCGGGGTTGAAAGCACCCAGTTGAGAAATGAACCATAGGGCCTGGTGCATTCAAGTTTACAACTGGGTGAGATTAGGTTTTCTTAGAGCTTCAAGGCTTTGACACCGTTGACAGGACTTCTGGGATCCAAAAATGGAACTGAAGCTTTCAGCCATTTCAGCCAGCCCTTTTGGCTAGTCTCGCCATCAGGGAGATGACTGACGATGAGTTGCATGGCCTGTGCAAGACTTACAAGAAGCAGTTTGGCTTGCGACTTGGCTGACTTGGCTCGCTGGCTGCAGGATCCTTTGGCCGAAACTCCCCCGTTGAATCGATGAGATTCTGAGGGAACTCTTCTGCGACGCTCCGGGCCAGACCCGCCAGAGCCTAGAGGAGCCAAGCGATGTATTTGAAATTGCTTGGTTGGCTACTTTAGTAGAACTCAATCTGCTGCCATAGTTATGGACATCTAATATATACACAATACAACACTATATACAATAAATAAAAAGAACGGTAATTATTGTTATTACTATTATCAATATATATATATATACAGTGTATACACACACACACACATATATATATATATATGAACAACCGTCTAAACTCGCGTTATGGAAGATATGTATTCGCTGGACATTGGTTGTCATAAAATGCAAAAAACTGAGGTTAGCGATGGGACCTTTCCAAAAAGCGATGCCCCCATTTGAGATGTTTCATCTGTGCCCCACAGTTTTGGGCTCGGGGTTAGTTGCGCAAAGCACTGTTGTTGCTATGTGTTTCAAGTACAATCTGTTTTGAGCCTTCTTTTGGATGTCTTAAGAACTAGGTAGCCCCAACAGGCCCCAAAGAGGTCTGAAACCAGTTCGAAACATCTTCCTGCTCACCGTCTCAAGACTTCTTCTTTCTCTCTGTCTCTTTCTCCCTTCTCTTCTTTCTTTTCTCGTTCTTTCCTTTTTTTCCTCCAAAGCTGAAGTAGCCTAAGAACAAAAAGAGGTCTGAAACCATTCTGAAACACCCCGCTGCTCACCATTTACAACGCTCTCTCTCTCTCTCTATCTCTCTCTCTCTCTCTTTCCCTCTTCCTCTCTCTGTCTCTCTCTCTCTCTCTCTCTCGCCTTCTATTTTTCTCCATGTCTGTCTCGTGCTATCCTCTTTTCCGGACCGCTGCATGTCTTTCCGGGCCGCAATGTCTACAATTAGAGTACGTTTTGGGTGCTTGCAAAGCAGCTCCTCCAGCAGTTCTTCTTCAGATTCATCCAGCTCAGAGAGGTGAAAGCTCGGAGCAGCTGCTTTCTTCATGAATGTGATACCTCCTTTAATTGGGTTTAGTATTAGCGATACCCCCTCCAAACTAATGAAAGCAATGATATGTAAATTGTTACGGGACTGTGGTTAGCGATGGGACCTTTCCAAATTATGTTGATGTCCTTTCCTCAGACAAGGAGTTTCGACAACCGCACATATACAATGTATAAATATATATATATATGTATACAGTATACAGATGTATACAGTACACAGACAACTCGGTTAAGAACTGCAGAGTATCTAAGATTTGCCACAGAAACGGGTCGTTGGGTTTGGCCATGCACAAAACCAAGCATCAACGAAGGGGTTGTTTAGCCAACAACTGTGGGAGATTGGGTTATCTAACATGGCTGGTTGGTGGTTTGGAACATGAATTTTACTTTTCCATATATTGGTAATAATCATCCCAACTGACTAATATTTTTCAGAGGGGTTGAAACCACCAACCAGGTTTGGTGTTATAGGACCAACAAGAACCGGTTGGTGGTGTAATGTCTTGGAAAATGCGATCCCTTAAGATGATTTAAGATGGGGATGATGCCCAAACCTAGGTGTTGCTTGAATTTAGGGGTTACCCTCATCATTTCTTTCCTCTTACCCTCTGGTAAACAAACATAGCTATTTAAAATGGCCATTTATACTGAGTTTTCCCATGAAAAATGGTGATTTTCCTTATAGTCATGTTAGTTTACCGGAGGGTATCGAGAATGACTATATAGTTTGACTTGGATCATGACTGTGCACCATGGATTGATGGGTAGCCATGGTACCCATGGCCAGGAACGGCTCTTGATCTATGACAATCTGAAAGAAGGATGGCTTTCAACTCAGGACGTCTACCCGCGCTGTGTTTTTGACCATTCCACCAACCATCCACTAGGAGTTTTGTTTTTAAATCATCCCGAATAGAAGTATACATTAATAGGTATACCCAATGCCATAGAACATCATAAAACTCGAACTTGGGATGCTTTATATCAACTTGATGCCTTTATGGCTTAGCTAGTTTAGCTCATGTTTGGGGCTGTGGCTTTCTGTTTAAGGGGCTCATAAGGGACCTCCGAAACGGACTCCACCAGGACTTGCAAAAGTTGATGATGGCGCTTCGATCTACGTCAATTGCAGGTGCCGTGGGTGAAACATGGTGAAACCTCTCAGAAAATGGGGCGCTAAAGAGTCCTTGGATTCTTGGGACGTGGTTGGAAGTTTTATGTGGGTTCCTAAAAAATGGAGGTACCTCAAAATGGATGGTTTATAGTGGAAAATCCTATTAAAATTGATAATTGAAGGGTACCTCATTTTAGGAAACCTCCATTTGATTAAATTTATCATGATTTATCTAGTGAGATGATGTGAGATGTGATGTGGCCACGTGCTTTTCTGTTTTGGATCAGCATCACATGGCATCACTTCGGCAACCGGCCAGGCAAAATCTTTGCAGAGAGAAGGCACGAGTGCCTTCACAACGACACCACCAAGATCCTATCGTCGGTGGACGCCCGCGTGTACGTTTACCGATGCATGCCGTCTCTTGAAGGCTTGAAAGTTTTAGAATCGCCCCTTGGCGAGGTCACATGAGGTCACACTTTTTTGTGGTGGAACAGATAAACCCCATGCGAAAGTGAAACGATGTACAGTAACTACTATGTGACTGGGATGTGATGCATATGGTTTGAAGATTTCTCAAGTATCTCCAAGGGCAGAACTGCACTGGCCAACGGAGGAAAGCAACTGACAAGCAGATGCTCAGACTATGCGAGCTTAAGGGGCTTCAATGCAGCTCAGAGACCAACGTGGTTTGGAAAAAGGCAAGGATGCAACCGCTGGAAAATTGCCCATTTATAGATGAATGAACCGCATTTACCCATTGAAAATTGAAAATGGGTGCTTGTGCATATCTATGTTAAATTACCAGAGGGTAAGCTCTTTCTGTAGTGCTATCCTGTATACAATGTGATACTGACAGCTATGGCCATATGGGTGCCATGATGCGCTACTCCAGGCATGTAAAGTCTGCGACACCAGAGCGATTCGGAAGCTTCAAAAGTTCTGTGCCAAGTGCGGCAAGAAGGATCTCCGGATAATTCCGCAGAGATATTTTCGAGTTGCTACTGCAGTAGCTGTTGCCTAGGCATGTATGTCTAGAATCGATGATGAGAGTCTTGGACTTCCCCAATTATTGATACCCACTTCAGCGGTTGCATGACTGAGCCACTTCAGGATGGTTATGATGGTTCCATGAAAGGAATGAACTGGGAGTTCAGTTCTAGATGTTCTAGGGCTGCGGCTTCCCGGTTTGTGAAACATGACCGGCTGATGTCAAAATATGTGTTGCATCACTGCATTATTGATTGATATTGATTGTTGTTTATCGGATCACTTGTACTCATTTTTACATATTTTTACCCATCGGAAGTATGGATGTTGCTCATACTTCCGATGGATAAACATCCAGAATGTTCGCTAATAGTTTATATACTAATGTTCACTAACACTAGCAGTCACTGGGATGTTTACTACAGTTCACTAATACTGTACATCATTTTAAACTTGATGTTCGCTAATAGTAGACGTATAGAATGTATACGCGTGTTGGTCCGTAGACTTCATGAGCATCAATCATAGGTTTGTTGAAACAAACGCCTACCATTGATATTGATAAACCAATCGTTGTGATGCATATCCATTGATCTACAATGAATGATAACAATATGGAATAACGCATGTTTTATCCACTGACGGCAACATCTTTATATATATATACATTTATACGGCACTTCCCCCAAAAGAAAGGTGATTGTACGGTATAGATATGTTCAAAGAAACCCACAAAAGTATACAGAAGAAGTAGAGATAATATAGCACCCCGACAAAAGGCGCACATATTTTAACTGCTCTACATATATGACCAAACTGGTGGTTCTGTGGGGAGGATCTAGAAAGCATATATGTTCCAAGGCTTACAAAACTACTATAATTATCATGCTATATCAGCTATGACCGCATGTTTTGTTGATTAATTCCCCATTTGATCTGGTTTGATCTCCGTTTTTATTGGTTAAATCATCCTTTTTCATTGTTAAATGTCATTTTTCTTGGTTAAACCTCCCATGTTTGTTGGATAATTGGCCATGTTCAAACCCATCTAAGAAATCGTCCAGCACCACAGGAGATCGACAAGCACGGCATGGCCACGAAGATTTTGCAGGTTTTTGGTGGTGGTCTCTCTGACGAAAACATGGGGGACAATCTATGGATTTCATGGTGCTTTAAGGGTGGTTTAATGTGATGTTGTGGTGATCTTATGGTGTTTTTATGGGATTTAAGGAATGAGATTTAATGGTTATTTGGTTTATGGCATTTCCTGGGACATAACTATAAAACCAAGAATCCGATATCCGAATGCTCGGAGCTGGGAATATTTGATATTTGTGTGGGGAATACTTTAAATATCTTGAAAACAATAGAAATTCAAGATTTTAATCCATACATAGATGTTGTTTTCCCATTGCTTGGTTGAAAAAAACATAGTTACATCATGTTTTATATATTCCATTTGTTAATTAATAGGGATAACTCCACTGAATGTGGATTTTCTAACCAGGTTTATTGGTTTATCATCATTGTTCATATGAAAATTGCACCTTTGGTTGGAAAATACATGTTCCCCACGATATCGCACATTTGACGGGCAGTATACATGTGCCATTCTGTGATGAATTTTTGAAGATCTTGGAAGTGCATCTGAGGCTTCATTGAGCCTGCTGGGCCGAACAACCCCTTTGGCTCTTGCGAGAGGACGGAGGATTGTTGGGTCAGGCGCTGAGGTGGACGCCGCAGAAATGTCCAGCTGGACAGTGCTGTGACACGGGGTTTCTTAAAATGGGGGATCCGCAAGTCCATGGGGGTAGCAAAATGCTCCAAAAGATGGGATTTGGGGTACCACCGTTTTGAGAAACCCCCAGATGATGTCTATACTGTATATATATATAGAGATATACAGTATACATATGTGATATCCATTGACTATTGGGTTTAGCCACTCAACAAACGGTTGCCGCTTGCAGATGCCCAACACCGAGTGCATCGGAAATGAAGGCAGCAAGGTCTGTTCCTGCAAGGCGTGCGCATGCGTTCGCCAAAAAATGCAGCATATTCCTGGTGGTAAAGTAACGTGTGGAAAATCACCATGGGTAAATCATGGTAAATCATAAATCAACATAAATCATCTATAATTGAAATCATATATCATCTGAGAATCTATAATTGTACCATTTTCAATATTTTTCAATAGCAAGCTCTTTTTTATGACCGGATGGTATATATCATTATGTATCTGCATGCCTAAAAGTGTCTAAATACAAGCTACTAGTAGGAAACATCATCAATGAGTCCATCGGAGTTGCGGGCGTCCCATTTCCTGACAAACCCGTATGCCATGGAAGGCCGGCACTTGCTTCAACCTCGTGAAGAACATCCGGAATTGGAAAGACAACACGGATATGTTCCCGATCTGTCAGGCAAAGACTTTTTGGATTCACATTTCAAATATCATGTCATCTTATTTCATCCAAAAGTGGGACATAGTGGGACTATCAGATCATCATCTATCATCGGTCTTACATGGTATTATCATAAGTGTCATAAGTGTCATATCCAACTTTCATCCTCTGGATATGGACCGCAGAGGCTGAATCAAGCGCTTGGAGAGAGATTGTGGCGGGAATGAAGCGTACGAAGCCCAGAGCGAAGCAAGGATTGTTTTTCAACCACCAATAACAATAACAACATATCACAACTCACAACTGTCTGTTTGTAGGAGGGCTAGATACCAGTTTAAGTAGAGTTAAGTAGGAATAACTATCCCAAAAAGAGCTTAGATTCACTGGTCGAGTCCAGACCAATGGTTTTATTCACGTGATGCACATACATTTCAAGCTGCGATTCCTCCAAGAAATGACTTGCAGAGGTAGCTTCTTGATCTATCGCTACACTCTGGGACTGATGGCCAGCCAAATCAAAGCGCTGCCCAGAAATTGATAGCAACCTGTGGTGGCTGACAGGGTCAGTCCATGTATTCCACGTCTGCCTGTTGGCTAAATGCCAGAGGCAAAAATTGCCAAAAAATCGGCATCGTTTCATGGAGTTTCCAGCTGCAACAAAAGGGAAGAACAGTTTTCGGAAAGGGAATCCTCGCGTTGAGATATGGCTTGAGTCAGCCTGAGGCCTCTGAAAAAAACTGTCGATGGGTGTCGTCCCTCAGGATCGACGACACCATCCTTCAGCTGGATCAATATTTGTCAGATGTCTACCACGAGGCCGAAAAGGAGAATCTACGGCTGGTGGTGTCAAACCCAAAAGAATATGGGGATTATCATCTTATACCAAGAAATGACTCCAAGAAATGGGGATTATCTTGCTACAACGTACTTGATAATCTATAGTTTTCAAGCATTTTTTTGGATGATCATCCCCAATCCTTGATGAGTCGAGTTCGATGCCGTGGTTCACCGACTTTCGACTTTCAGGTGGATTGCACCCGCATTGCTTTGGACCCGCGTTTCAAGAACATGGAGGGCTCCATTGGTGCTCGGCTCATCCATGTTAGTGAACAAAAAGAAGCCCGGGCCCCAAAAACCGCCCTATGGCCAGCTTCAGGTGCTGTCTACTACAACTTTCCACATGCTGGAGCTGCTTGGGTCAGGCACCTGGCTGCTCTGAACAAAGGTGGTGTTGCAATCAGGCGCAGCTGAGCAGCTGCGATGTTGGCTGAGGTTGATTTACAACCTGGCCAAGGCCATGTCACTGGTTTTTATGCCACTTGTCCCTGTCAGATTGCAGAGAAGATCTCAGTGTGTGTGTGTGTCCGCTTCTTTGGTGTGTCATGCGAGCATACGCATTAGATGCTTTGGTGATCATTTAGCCATTTTAGCCCCTTTAGCCTCTTTGCAATAAAGGTCTGCAAGTCAAGTGGAATTTTATAGGAGCATATAGGAGCCACCCAAGGACAGCCATCCCATCGTCAATTGGCGGCACGAAAACCTCATGCGATTGCTGCTTTGGCGAAAGTTTTGAGATGTTTCGAGTGATGGCAAGGCGATGGATGGCATCCAAAATCCATTGGTTTTATCATGATGTTCCCTATTCCAATGGCCTTCCGGTGGGGGGATCTCATTGAAGAAACCCACCAATTAGTGGTAGTTAGTGGAAAGTTGTTCAACTCAGCAATGGGGAAAACTCAACTTTGATTCATGGCTGCGCAGAAAGCTGCGCATGGCTGCTCTGCACATATCTAGAACCGTGAGGTTCTTTCGGAACCTTCGCTACTTCGTGAAGCCTCGGGGGCTTGTTAAGATTGCCTCAAACATGGGTGCGGTGGGAGTGCGATTCTCCTACATTCTAGGTGCCTTGACCGTGAAAATTTTCGTCGCGTTGATCTCTTGAAGTTTGGGGCTCAACATGAGTTAGCATGATTTACCAGAGTTTACCATGCTACTTATTGGTTTAATATGGTTTAATTATAGCATTCGTTTGAAGGGGGGCCCCACAAGACGATACCGCGGTACCGTCATTCACCGGAGAATCTGATGTATGATGTGATCCGTTGAGGTCCCAGGGTCTGGCAGTCCACTGGCACCAAGGTTCCGCGGAGCAGAACGAGTTCCAGCAGCTGCCCAAGTTGAAGACAAAGACTACCCTCTGGTGAACTAACATAGCAATGGAAAATCACCATTTTTAATGGGAAAATCCACTATAAATGGCCATTTTCAATTGCTATGTTAGTTCACCAGAGGGTAAATGTTTGATTTACCATTTACAGCACCTATTAATCCATTTGAATGGTAAATCAATGGAAAATGGTGCTGTAAATGATCTATCAAATGATCTATCAAATGGATCTATATGGGCCATTTGAATCCATTTGATTGATCATTTACAGCACCTATTCAAATTGAGGTTGTGAAACCAGGGCGATGTTAGTCTACCGGAGGGTATGTGTTGATGCGCCAAAGCATTTGCGCGTTACAGCTTTGCATGCGAGAATTGCAGTGAAAGGTGTGTCAACGGTCTTTTTGATCTTTTTGCTGACTTGGCATTCACTTTCCATTGCTTTGGGAAAATCTGCAGATTATCCATGACATAATATTATGTATTTCCAACATTTGATGGAACATATTTATTTCATGAAAAAGATCCTTACGGTATCTTAACGTTGCTTAATTTTCATGAAAACATCCACAATTTAAGGGCTGGCTGTAGAATGCCTAAAATTCCAGGCATGTGGAAACCTTGCCATTCTTGGAGTGGTCGCGCCTTGGAGTGAATTGTGGGACTGGAGGTGGAGATTCTCTGCTTTCCATAACGATCCGAGTATGTGATATACCCTCTGGTGAACTAACATAGCTATGGAAAGATCCACCATTGTTTTTAATGGGAAAATCCACTAGACTATAAATATGGTGATTTTCAATAGCTATGTTAGTCATTACCAGAGGGTATATTTGTAGACATATTTGTGTTTATGATGATGGGTGGGTGGATGGATGGCTGGATGGATGGATGGATGGATGGATTGATGGATGAATGGACGGATGGATTGGCTAGATAAATGGACAACTTGATAAATGGATAGATGGATAGGTCGATAGATTTTCCACGGTAATGATATGTCAATTACCCTCTGGTTATTTAACATAGCCGTGGAAAATCATCATTCTTAATAGGTAAACTGGTAAACCATCTATAAATGGACCATGTTCCATGGCTATGTGAAATAACCAGATGGTATATGAGTAATTTAACATAGCTATTGAAAATTGCCATAGACATAGTGAGTTTTCCCTTAAAAAAATGGTGGATCTTTCCATAGTTATGTTAGTTTGCCAGAGGGTAATCATCTGACTCAATGGATTGATTTAAGGGAACATTTACAGGAAACCATAGATGTTCCCCTTAAATATGGGGCTTTCCCCTAGGCTCCACCGCTATGGTCGCGCATATGGTGACCGGCGAGACAAGAAGAAGCGACCTGGAGACGGACAAGGACGATCTAAAAAATGGGGGCGTTCCATGGGATTTAGCCTCCGGTAAACTTTCACAAAAAACTATGGAAAGATCCACCATGCTATCAATGGGTAAATCATGGTAAATCCACTATTTCTATGGCCATTTTTAATAGCAAACTGTTAGTCATTACCAGAGGGTAACACAGTTAACCATAGTTAACCAGACAAGGATCGACAACAGTGATCTCGACCAGCGAGGATTTGAGTCTCAGAAATGGGGATTTTCCATATGTTCCATGGGGTTCAACGTATTTGAAATGGCAAGTCAAGAGGGTGATTTAACTCTATTTTTTTTCAAGGCGGCCACTTCATAGCAAGACAAATGAAAGAATAAGAATAGCGAAACATTGCAATTTCAGGGGTATGACGATAAAATATGATAAACATTGAGAAACCATGGGATGAAAAGTAAGGTCCAAATTTTGAGATAATCCATGATAATCCCTTTTTGCGACCTCGCAACGGCTTTTGACAAATCCTCCATCTTTCTGGAAAACCTCCGAACTGCCGCAGGCTACAATGCGCAAAAAGCTGAATCTGACATGGTCTACACCTTCGAGTTTCACCCTCAGGTTTTTGCAAACTGGCACGGCGTCTACAAATGGGGCATACCCGAAATATCCATGAATCTCGTGCAACTCATGTCGATTTTACATGGGGTTTACCTGCTGATGCACCGCAGGTACCGGCCCTCTGGAAAGGATTTACCACCACAGGAGATCAAGTTGCCACCCACGTTCCAAACGATCATAGGCACGTGTTGCATCTGTTTTTTTTCGATCCAGTGAGGTTGGAAATGTCTCCTGATTTCCCCGCAGTTGGTACATGGTCATTTGTTGGAAAAATAGAGGTAAACATTGGTAAATCTGAGGAATCTGGATGGCTTTTAAATGCTTTCTTAATTTTTTTTCAAGAAATCACATTTGAAAATCACTGGCCATAAATGAGGTGAGAAAATTACCCCATTTTCAGACACCCATCCGATGTGGTGCAAGATGGTGCAAGGCTGCAATGATGGTCCTTTCAAGAACTTGGACCACAATTCCAGCATGGCGCTCGCCAGGCTCAACATTGGAGATGGGATCAAAAGATGGAAAAAACACCGTCAGTTCCATGGATAAATTGAATTAATTTGAATTTAAGTGGTCTTTTAGGGTTTGATGATTTAGTCCTTGTACATCTTTTCACAGTTTGAGACCCTTGAAATGTTTCAAGTTTTTTCAAAACCTTCCTATTTCCATATATTTCCATCGCTACCATTTGCTACCTCAATTTTGACAAGGCAGCTGCACGAGCGTTTCATCAAGGAAGTGTCAGGCACACACGTGGGTTAAGCAGCTGGCCTGCATTGGACAACGCTTTGTGGCGATTTTGTTTGGAACCTGATGTCCCATGATAACTTTAACCTATAGGAATTCGATTTTTAGACAAAACCATATTGAAGCAATTTCGCAGAAATCTTGGCTCTGCTCTGACTTTCCATGGTTTTCCGTTGGAGAATGGCAAGTTGTTCCATGAATGTTTGTACCAGTTCTTCCACAGCTCAGCCCGCGGCGGGAGCTAAGTTGCTCAGGTTTGCCATTGCCGAGACTGAGCCAGCATGGATTTGTTCGTGCGTAAAAGGTTTTTGCAGCAAGTACATGGGGGGGGGGCAGGGCGGTCACAAAAAACATCACCGGTTCAATGACCGTCTCAGACTCAACGTATGGACCTATGGCTCAAGCTCCCACAGGAAAGCCGTTGACAAAGAGTAGTTCGATTCTTGCAAGAGCAGAGGATGGCAGATCAATTGATTCTGGCTCGATTTGTTGATTAGACTTTTTGTGTTTCCCATACATCAACTCCAATATCTTTTGAACACATCACAGTGAAGCAGGTGAAACTGAGTTTCAGCTGAGTCTGAGGACAGAGGAGCAGATCGCTGAATTCCAAGAAGCATTCCAATTGTTTGCTGGCGATGAACTGGAAGATCTGACGGAAGAACAGATCGAAGAACTGCGGGAGTGGCAGGACATTGGATCCATGCACCATTTTTCTGGATTCTTTCTCTACAGCCTTTTTTTTGGGGGTTGAAACTCATGTTGTTTGTTGCTATTTAATCCATTTTAACATATTTCAGCTATGCCAAGTGACATGAATTTGGATGTTTTGACCCACCCTGTGAGGCGCACTGCGAGGAGCTCCGTTCTGAATGGAACGAAGAAGATTCGCTCATGCAGCATCTGCGGCAGTTGCATGGCACTGGAGCAAGACTCTTGGGAGAGGCCGAGGACGCGATAGCACGATGGATCCCAGACATCCCCAAACACGTGCCATGGTTTTCTTGGAGATCCAATGATACACAATTAAACGATGCGAACATTCACCATATCATCCATATGATCCACATCATCCATATCGTCATATATATATATTATATATATATACATATAATCCATGATTCATTCTGAAAATGCCAATTCAATGCAGTGCATTGTTTGATCCATGGCACACGCTGAACTGCCAGGACGGCCCAATCATTGCTCCCTTGACCTCCATTGAGGTGGAACTTGAGGTGTGGGATGTTTTTTTTTAATCCAGTGGTTTTCATGGAGGGAACGATTTTTTTTTGGATTTTGGGGGCATCCATACGCCATGAAAATTGCCATCATATTCCCAATTACTCCGATCTGAAAATGGATGGCGCAGATTTTTGCAATGCGCCATCTATAGACCACTTGAGGGATGGGGTGTTTTGCGCCATCTATAGGTTCCCGACACACGTCCTTGAAAACAACCTGTTTTCCTCTAGGTTAGTTTAAACCTAGTATTTAAGATCTGGGGTCGATTTTTTTTCGGAAAACCATAATTGTGGATTGCGCCATCTATAGGTTCCCAAAGGAGGAGGGAAAGGAGAAAGGAGGAAGGAGAGGGAGAAAGGGAAAGGAGAAAGGAGAAAGGAAAAAATGAAAGGAAAAGGGAAAGGGAAAGGATAAAGGAGAAAGGGGAAAGGAAAGGAGAAAGGAGAAAGGGAAAGGGAAAGGAGAAATGGAATGGAGAAAGGAGAAAGGAGAAAGGGACAGGGAAAGGAGAAGGGGCAGGAGAAAAAAGAAAGGAGAAGGGACAGGGAAATAAGAAAGGAAAAGGCAAAGGGAGAGGGAAAGGAGAAAGGGAAAGAACAAAGGGAAAGGAGAAAGGCAAAGAAGAAAGGAGGAGGGAAAGGAGAAAGGAGAAAAAGGAAAGGGGAAAGGAGAAAGTGAAAGGGGAAAGGGAAAGGAGAAGGGAAAGGAGAAAGGAGAAAAGGACAGGGAACAGGATTTTTCTCAAGTTTCTCCCGGTGAATCCTGTTATTTACAGCTCGCTGTGTGCATGTTTGCCTCCCAAAGTGAATTGCGCCATCTACAGTGCATGGTTAGTGTATGCGTCTGCGTGCATATGATCTAGGGTCAGATGCTCAATTTCGGTAAGTTTTTCCCGGTGAATCGTGTTATTTACAGCTCGCTGTGTGCATTGATGCCTCCCAAAGAGAATTGCGCCATCTACAGTGCGTGGTTAGTGTATGTGTGTGCGTGCATACCACTGTATGTGTGTGTGAGCCACATTTGCTTCAAAAATATGGCTGCATTGGGTTTGAAGATGGCAGCTCCACCGGCAGTAGCCCTGCCTGGTGCAGAATGTGGTGAGAATCCAAAGAAAAAGAAATCAATCGCTATTTACCAAAAATAGCGATGCTATTCGGGGTCGCGCCATCTGCCAAAAATAGCGATTTTACGGCCAGGCTGCGCCATCTACCGTCGCTATTTATTTATTTTTTTTGTGCCATCTACTTTCAGAGCGGTGTACCCTCTGGTAATTTAACATAGCTATTGAAAATGGCCATTTATAATGGATTTTCCCATTAAAAATGGTGATTTACCATAGTTTTTTGTAAGTTTGCCAGAGGGTATTCTATGATCTATGATCCCTATTCTAACTGGGAGCGACGAATTGAGAGCTACGAATTGAGAGGGAACCCGTTTCCATGTGAAAATTTTCGGGTACCCCACATTTATGGGGATTTGGAGGGTGTATATATATATATATGATATATGTGTATCATATGGGATAGTGGGGTTCTAAAGTCCACTGGATTATCATGTTAGTGTTCTAAAATCTAGTGACTATAGTGGTTTATGAAGGGTCATCATCATTTTCCCCATGAAAGTTGCCATTAATGCCTCAAGAGCCAATTTGCATGGGAGAGATTATTGTAAACAATGGGATTGAATGCAGTTCTTGAGTTTGCTGTATTATATAATGTTCAAATATATGTTCAAGGGTTATATTATAGATTATTATAGCCTGAGAGCATATATAATCCCATGCCCCATTCATATACCCCCATTCTATCGTCCCAGTTGTGATGTCATCCTCCACATCCACCATGGCTCCGGTGCAGGTCCTCGATATCGCTGTGCTGGCACGATTTACTCAGTGCTTTGTGAATCCCACAGACGTCACTGAGTCAAGATTTAAGCACGATGGATGGTGGTATGACCATGACCGGTATGACCGGTAGCCACAATATGGATGATGATAGGGGTCAAATGGGGTCAATTTTTCGGATCAATTTTTGGGCTCAATGTCGCCAATTGTCAGGGGTAACCTCTTATATCTCTTATGAAGATGGCCTTTTTTAGCCCTCTGGTAATCAAGCATGGCTAGCTTGGAATACCCTCTGGTAATTTAACATAGCTATGGAAAATCACCATTTTTAATGGGTAAATCCACTATAAATGGCAATTTTCAATAGCTATGTTAGTTTACCAGAGGGTAAGTCATGATCTAATGACTTGGATGACTTGAAAAATACCGCATTTGAGGAGTTGCTAGATGTGACCTATGCCTTCCCGGTGCTCCCGAGTGCGAGCGTCACGCATTTGGATGCTCAAATCGGCGAGCGGGTAATTGTGCCTTAGCTGTTTCAGTGTCAGCAGATCTGGGTCAACCTTGTGTTTGATGAGTTAGTTGTCGCTGTTTTTTGCCACTGCAAAATGCGGGAGATCAAGCTAGTCACTAGGCCAAACAACATGTTATTTGCATGGTATCTCAGATCAGCAACCGTGAGATGTCCCCTTGAAAGCACCTTTAGTACCTACTGGAATCGCAGCAAGAGCTGCTAATCATGAGCAGAACTGCAACCAGTACTTGGGTTAGGGTTTGTCTAGGACAATCTAGGACACCTCAAACTCCGGTGGTTTATCACACACAATACATTCCCAAATGTGTGATCCTTATTTTCCCAAATGAAATTGCCACTTTGGGCTGGTAACTGGCAACCACCATTTTCATCCATTTTGGACGAGACCAAAAAGTTTGGTTTAAGATCTAGTTCGGTGCATTTGGCATTGGGATGCCTTCGGGGCCCTGGGTTTTCCATGGTTTTCCGCAGACAGGTGGGACGAGTTGTTGAAAAGCAAGCGGCTCGCGCGCAGTTCCAGGAAGCCCGGACGGAGAGAAAGGCTGGGCCTCTGTGATCCCCTGGGCCCCTGGGCGGTTCTGTGAGATGTTACCCTCTGGTTATGTCAAAATAGCTATTGAAAATAGCCATTTATAGTGGATTTTCCCATTAAAAATGGTGATTTTCCATAGTTATGTTAGTTTACCAGAGGGTAGTCATCGGTCTGGAGTCATTTTATGACTTCCCCCAATGGTTTGTGAATTTTCAATAGCTATTTTGACATAACCAGAGGGTATATCATGGTATATCCACTAACATCCCTGTTTTTTGGTTCATTGAACCCCTATAATGAATGAGTGAAGGACAGTCATACGAACCATGACCAATTTTTCATACCCCTAATTTTAAGGGTCCATTTGGGCCCCATGTTTGATCCATATATATAGATCATACAGTACTCATCAGTTCAAGTGGCGTACCAAAAAACATCCTCCACATGTGTGGTCATAGAGTATATTAATATCATTTGCCATGACAAACATCCATGATTTTCCCCATGGATTTCACCATGGATTTTCCGCAAAAAATTCTCCAGGCCGCCGGCCTCTTGGAGAAAGCTGCGGGAGATCTGATGCGCCTGAAGCTGGGGCAAGTGGATCCCGGAGAGACCGTGCTGGTCCGCCTGGACATGACGATGGAGCTGCAGAATCAGAGTGGATCCTTGGCGAAGATCGAAGAAGGGCAGTCGATCCAGTGGATCTCCCCTGGTTCTGAAAAACGTAACTTCCTGTGGAAAATCAACATGTTTAACAGGTAAATCATCATGTTTATCACATTTTACCACCATAAACGGACCATGATGTTCATATATCAGTTTATGATAGTTTATGCCATAGCTTAACCACAATACAAAACATATAGAACAACAAAACAAGGATAATACGAAGAACAAACATGATTTGAATCAATAGTGTCCAATCAGTACCCACAATTGCTAACTCCAAGTATCCCCATTAGATCCCCATTAGAAGTTCATTAGATCCCCATTATATCCCCATGTTCATGTCCCCATTTTCAGATCATGATACTCACAGATTGCCTAAAGGGCACCACCAAACAGCTCTTCCGAGATGGTCAATTCCGTGTGGCTCTGCCAATGATTGTTGACCCGCGCTATCCGTTGCGACCCGATGTTTGGACTACCGAAGCAATGGAGGACACGTCGTCATTTCATGTCATTTCTGCTGATCGGAACGATTTTTGAAGACGGGAAGATGGGAAGATACTGAAAGATGCTGAGCTTCATTGAATGCGTCAGCAGTTGTTCAACATAAAGCTCATAAAGCCATCAAACACCCTCAAACAACCATCAAAGAAGCATCACACCAAACAACTACCAAAGAACCATCAAAAAAGCATTAAACACTCATCAAACAAGTATCGAAAAAGCATCAAAACCACCGAACAACCAAAAAACAATCAACTAAAGCACCAAAAACCATCAAAAGCCACCGAAAACATCAAGGACGCATCAAAAAAGTAAAAACCGTTCAAAATACCATCAAAATATCATCACAATACCATCACAATACCATCACAATACCATCACAGACCACCAAAACATCAAAGACCCATCCAAAAAACCATCACCAAAATTGCCTTATCAGAAGCATCACAAACCAGCAACAAACCATTTCACTTAAAAATCACCAGTCAGGACCTCACGAAACTCGCAGGACTTTGCAGCCACGCAAGAAGCATCACAGGGTCCTGGCACGGGAAGCTTCAGCTTCACTGCTCAGGCGCACGAAAGTTGTTGATGGTCTACCATGGGGATCCTTTGTGTTCCAATATAACCAATGGTGCTTAACATCTAGTGGATGTTAGTGGATATTAACCAATAGTGAATGGTGTTCCAATATAACCAATGTTGGTGTTCCAATATAACATCTATTCCAATATAACCAATGTTGAATGGTGGATGTTAGTGGTGTTTTCCAATAGTGAATAGTGGATGTTTAATATTGTTTAATGGTGCTTGTTTGTTTGATGAAATTTTCGAAAAACGATGATCAAAGCAAGCACTTCTAATGGGGATTTAACCACGAAATTATGGGCGCAAATGTGGGGAAACCTTGTTGAAGGGTGGTTTAATACTTTGAGATATTTTGCCACAAGTGAGGATTTACATATATGATATATACTAACCATGCTAAACTAAATACAAGGTATCTTAGATTGGCCATGGCGATATTTCCAGTACTACAGCTGCGAACTGGTCCTGAATGGTTGGCGGCGGACCAAGCTTCATCGGCTCATGACTTGCAAACTTCATTCAAAAAAAAGGTGATACAAAAAACACGTCGAGCCCATCAGTAGACTTCCAAAACAATGAGTAGATGATGTTCCATGATTTTCCATGAGTTTCCATGAGTTTCCCATATGAGTTTCCCCATGACGAATGACGAAAATTCACCGCTTCATGTGGTCTCCCCTTGGGCCAGGTGCAGATGCCAAGCCCGGTGTTGCGGATCTGCAGTCCCAGTCACCCCGAGATGGCGTGTCACCTGGATGGATCACAGGCTCGGCTGGTGATTTTCAGGGCAGTTTCGGCTGGGGAGTCATGGTGAAATTGCGAGATTTATAGAATTTTGTTAAGGGATCATGTTTTTTGTCGTTTTTTTTTGGGGGGGAGAGGAACATGTGTTTCGATTTGTTTCGTTTTTTTTTGAGATTTTGGAGGATTACCCAGTAAACCATCCTTTTTTTGGGGGGGAATTCATCATTAGACCATCCAGCAATTCATTTTTTGAGGGATAGTTGCCCACTAGACATTAAAACTAAACCATATTTTTTTTTTTGGCGGGTCAGGATTCGAGTCCAAACATGTCCAAACCCAAATCACTCTCCCCATGACCAAGCCAATAGATCCACTAGCAATCAAGATTGAGAGGCATATTCTTAGCAAGGCGGTAAAGAGAAACAGTTGCAGAAAATCTCCTGATTTTTTCTGGTTACTGGTTATTTTTATTCAGTTAAACCGTGAAAGCCTCTGTTAAATGTTGTTAATTCAATCTCCAGAAATCCCAAGAATTTCCTGATGATTCTCAGCCCCAATGGTGAATCAAAATCCCCCTTGTGAATAGGGAAAATGATGATCAACCACTCCATTTTTTCCATGTTTTTCCCATGATGTTCACCCAACAAGTAGAGTCAAAAATCAATAAATCAGCAAACAAATCCATCAAAATCCATCAAAATCCATCAAAATCCATCAAAATCGGTCAAAATCCATCAAAAACCATCAAAAACCATCAAAACCATCAAAAACAATCAAAAACAATAAAAAAACAATAAACAAAACAATAAAAAAACATCAAAAACCATCAAAAACCATTAAAATACCATCAAAAACATCAAAAACCATCAAAAACCATTAAAAAAAAACATCAAAAACCATAAAAAACCATCAAAAACAAAAAAAAACCCAATAAACAAAACAATAAACAAAACAATAAAAAAAACCATCAAAAACAATCAAAAACCATCAACAACATCAAAAACCATCAAAAACCATAAAAAAAACATCAAAAGCCATCAAAAACCATAAAAAACCATCAAACACCAAGATTTAAAAAAGCGCCATCTCCTGCCACTGACCCAGGCCTTTGCCTCCCTAGCCCTCACCACAATGCCCCAGCGCGAAGTCGTCCTTTCGATCAACATCTCGAAGCCGCTGGAGCAGCGCTGTTGGATGCAAGAGATGGACGAGGCCAGGTGATTCTATCCTTACCAGGTGGTTTATGGTGATAGGTGGTTGACAGCAACACCATCAGAGACACCCATGATTAATCAATGGATGATGGCCTTTACATCTAGACACATGGGTAAACTTACACTACACCTTGATGTTTATTAATGGCTAGTGAATGGGTATTAATTGTGGTTAATGGCTAGTGAATGGGTATTACAATACGCATCATCACATTTCAGTGGCCCCTTCCCGGGGGTACAGGGATCGTAGCATACCATGCCAAGTGGATTGCCATCCGTTGAATCGTCCAGCAAAACGCCCAAACTATCTCGAAACATATAACGTACCTATGGCATTTATGGTTTAATCAGTTTATATCAGTTTAATCACAATTTTTGATAGATAAATCATCTAGAAATGAACCATGTTTTCTACACTTAAATTACCAGAGGGTAAACTATCGCAAATTGTTGAGATGTCCAAACTTAATTTCACCCATTTGGCAACCTCCAGGATACCGGTTTGCTGTACGCCGTTCTCTGTCCAGAGGACTCAACTTGCTGCTTTGATGGCCCGAAATTTTTGCTGTATTCTATCACCAGGTTGTCTCCTCA